AACTGGTGTGAGATGTTATCCTTCTCCTCAATGTCAAGTACTTATAGAAGAAGATAGTTTCCATTCATGATTACAGATGTACTTCCGGTCCCTCATCCACACTTTCGGTGCAAATGGGTTCATGACAAAAATAACAAATATAATACTATCACGTTAACAGAAACAGAATCCAAACTCAAGTTCAGTAAAACTATGGGAAAATAAGTAAAACAGGAATATTAACACAGAGATAGACTCAATAAGAATAGGAATAAGACCAGGCACTACAACCACTGATAAAACTTGGTCAGTCAAAGTAAGTAACGTCATGGTCCCGAAAGGGATCACGCCAACCAACCAACAACAGGTATCATAACAAGCATCAAACATGTTCAACTTCTTTTCGCATCTCCCTCGTCCCTCGCCCTGCTACTCTCGTCAAACTCCTCTGAAGAACAGTAATTACACTCCTCTCGTCTCTCGCCCCGCTACAGTTGTCAAACTCTGTTGATATTATGGCGACAGTAAAATTTCGCAACAATTGTGCATGCGTGCGTATATGTTGGGGAGGGGGCGGTGCGGGGGGAGGGTTGGTTGGTTAGTGTTTTGTTTGTATAACCGGTGAATATCATACGTGTCAGCGAGCGCCAATTTTGGTGGGGCACTGACGTTTGGCTCTCATGCGGGGATGAAGAGGTCATAGCGCGCGTCTAGCCATTCTAATGTAAACATTCCATCATTAGCTGATCCAATTCTTATCTCGTGGTCTGATAGATAATCAGACAATCAGCCTCGCTATCTACACCTCTTCATTTACTCCCTCCCAGCAGTATTACTAGCGCTGCTTACATATTAATAAGACATAGTGCATATCTCCCAGTGAGGTGCTCCCGACTTATTTTCAGCTTCCGTTAATTTGAGCAATACCTAAAACAGATCAACTTGTCATGAATTTCAAGATTTTTATCAAAGGTTTCACTTAGCCATATTTCTTAAAACTTGAAAACATCGGAAAAACTATTTCAATTGACATTTATCAGATAAGATATATTCTACACTTGAGAAAGTATTCTCCGCGCAAAACAATGCCAATTCTATTATACCGAAGGATAAAGTTTAAGCACCTTCATAAATACCAGTGGGACGACATCCGAGCATTTCACACCTAGTTACACCTCCTTCGCTACTCGTCCCACTACACCCACCAAACACTTCTGAAGAATAGTAATTATACCTCCCTCGTCCCTCGCCCTGCTACTCTCATCAAACTCCTCTGAAGAACAGTTATTATACCTCCGTCATCCAGCGCCCTGCTACTCTCGTCAAACTCCTCTGAAGAACAGTAATTACACTTTCCTCGTCCCTCGTCCTGTTACTCTCGTCAATCTCCTCTGAAGAACAGTAATTACACTTTCCTCGTCCCTCGTCCTGTTACTCTCGTCAAACTCCTCTGAAGAACAGTAATTAGACTTTCCTCGTCCCTCGTCCTGTTACTCTCGTCAATCTCCTCTGAAGAACAGTAATTACACTTTCCTCGTCCCTCGTCCTGTTACTCTCGTCAATCTCCTCTGAAGAACAGTAATTACACTTTCCTCGTCCCTCGTCTTGTTACTCTCGTCAATCTCCTCTGAAGAACAGTAATTACACTTTCCTCGTCCCTCGTCCTGTTACTCTCGTCAAACTCCTCTGAAGAACAGTAATTACACTTTCCTCGTCCCTCGTCCTGTTACTCTCGTCAAACTCCTCTGAAGAACAGTAATTAGACTTTCCTCGTCCCTCGTCCTGTTACTCTCGTCAATCTCCTCTGAAGAACAGTAATTACACTTTCCTCGTCCCTCGTCCTGTTACTCTCGTCAAACTCCTCTGAAGAACAGTAATTACACTTTCCTCGTCCCTCGTCCTGTTACATCCACGAAACTCCTCTGAAGAACAGTAATTACAATTCCCTCGGCCCTCGCCCTGCTACATCCACCAAACTCTTCTGGAAAATATTAATTACACTTTTTTCGTTCTCTGAAGAACAGCAATTACACTTCCCTCGTCTCTCGCCCCGCTACACCTACCAAACTCTTCTGAAGAACTGTATTTATACCTCACTTATCATTCACCCTGCTACTCTCGTCAAAACTCCTCTGAAGAACAGTAATTACACTTCCCTCATCCCTTGTCCTGCTACACTCGTCAAACTCCTTTGAAGATCAATAGTTATACCTCCCTCGTCCCTCGCCCCGCTACACCTATCAAACTCTTCTGAAGAAAAGTAGTTATACCTCCCTCATCCCTCGCCCTGCTACTCTCATCAAACTCCTCTGAAGAACAGTAATTACACTTCCCTCATCCCTTGTCCTGCTACACTTGCCAAACTCCTCTTGAAAACAGTAATTACACTTTCCTCGTCCCTCGTCCTGTTACATCCACGAAACTCCTCTGAAGAACAGTAATTACACTTTCCTCGTCCTTCGTCCTGTTACATCCACGAAACTCCTCTGAAGAACAGTAATTACACTTCCCTCGTCCCTCGTCCTGTTACTCTCGTCAATCTCCTCTGAAGAACAGTAATTACACTTTCCTCGTCCTGTTACTCACGTAAAGAACAGTAATTACATTGTGAAAAAATACTACAATAATTTAGTGTATTTTAGGATATTGACAAACTGAATCTGATTGTAAATTGCTATCACAACGATTGAAATATCTTAAACCATAGAGTTAAAAGTACTGTAATCGAAATTTTATGATGTTTCGTTATACACGTTTTATGTTGAAAACTTCGGGCTACTTATTAAGAACGCTCTGAAAAAACAACCTCGAATTCGGAATCTGATATCGGTGCCAATTAATGAAAACATTTTCTTGGCGTGGATCATTGTGACGGTAATTGACATTGTCTCGCTCGATCTACGTTTTGAGCTAATTGAAGAAACCACATGTCTTTTTTCTCTGACGGTGCGCGTGATTTGTCATCACCTAGGCATGCAGTATACGTCATACTGAGAACGTTATTTATCATATTGATGCTCCAGGTTGTTCTTCTGCCAAGAAAATGACGCAGTGTTCATTTTCGGAGTTATATTTGTGTGGCGTAAAAAAGCAAATAATGTATTCCGGAATTAACTGTTTTGGTTTATTCATTAGTATGTATATAGCCGCATGGTGAATGAGAAACGCATGCGCTATAATGCTTCAGATTGCACGTGGCTACGATATTTGCGGATTCCGAATGACTGAAATTATAGACAGTTGAAATACAACAACAGGCTTTGTAGAATTACTGTAAAGAGATTATCATGTAGTAACTTCTGGAATAGCATTCATTGGGTCATATCATCACGATTTCTAAAGTAACGCCCTGCAAAGATGTAAAAGCTATGACTTCCTGACTCTTCAAAACCCTGTATACAGCAATGGATAGCAAGGCTCTTTTGTTGTTGTTAGTATTTTCTGACAATGGAACGCCGGCATGGTTTAGTAGCACGAAGCAAACAAGGCAAAGATAAAGATAAATGTTGTTTATTTACGGTAGATAAAGTATCATGTAGATCTAAAGTATGTGTTTATGTTTATTCAATAGTAGCGCAATAGTATAGCTTCTTACCTTCCACAACAACTTTAAATTAAGTCCAGATTTTCTATATTTCACTTTCTAAATGTCAATGAACTTAGGTCATGAAAATATTATTCAAACACTTGTTAATTTATTTTCTTCTATACTATATCAAACATCAATGCGATATTTCAAAATAAAATTATCTTTAGAAACTGTAATTTGCTAACTTTATAGATTTTCAGCGTACAAATTTCCTTAGAAATTTCGTTCATTCTTAGTAATATTTTAATTGCTTTTTCACATTTCAGTAATATGAATAAAATTCCATCCGTATCGTAGGATTATAAAATAGTTTAAGGCAAAGAGAGTTCCATAGATTTCAAACTGCAAAAAGAAAACTATGAGATAATTTTGAATACATTTTATGGGCTCTCCATTCATTTCTTTGCCTCTATCCGTCTGAAACTATAAATCCGTTTTCGTTCTTGTGTTAAGAAACCACTATTATGTAATATTGGAGCTGGATCAAGTCTACGTCCATCTACATGAACAAACAGAAAGATAAATAGAGCCAGGACGTGAATGAGTTACACCCAAGAAATAAATCTCAGTATCTACATTAGTTTTATTTCATAAACAACCCAAACATTTAGTGTTATATGTACATGAAACAACATTTGGGTACAAAATCGATTGATATATCTTATAAGCTCCTGATTATATCGTTTTGAAGACTTAAGTAAAGGTAGGTAATTGGATCCGGATTTATAAGCATTATCTTGTTAGTTTCCGGGTCAGGCAAAATTGAATCAAACAAGAAAAGCAACGTAGATATAAGTTCACTTGTGTGATATGTAGAATCTTTTATAGAGGTTATATACATTTCTCTTAAGATAAAGCCTCATTTTCAGATATGTGAACATCAAATATCCCGAATCAGAGCAGACTTCGGTAACACACGTTAAAGGTTAACCCAATGTCACGCACATCATCACGATTTGTTGTGCGAGGTATTGTAATATAAGGTTTAGCAATGGCCGTGAGATGATTCTTAAGGTGGCTAGGTTAACGACGCTTAGTCATGTGGTTTTGACGCCGAGTCACGTGGTTAATGACGCCTCGTCATGGGGTTAATGACGTCAAGTTACAATTACTTTTGGCACGAAAATTTGTTTCATTTTCTGTCGCAATCTCGCGCGGTAATAATTAAAGACAGAATTATTGAGATATCCACAACCTGGATAAGAATCTAGTTCTGAACAGTGAGACATAGGACATAAGTTGAATAAATATATTTTTGTCTTATATTGTACATATATTGAAATAGTCGTGATTTACGGAATCGCGGGAAAATGTTTTTAATGTGCTTTTATAGATGTGAAGAGATCGCATATTCCTGGGATTTTCATCTTCAAAATAAAATATTAACTCAATAAGAAAATAAGATATTAATTGTATCATTTATTTACAACAGGTGACAGAAGGCACACCCTCTTATGGTCAGTTGGCCCCCGGTGACGCCATCTTGGGAATCGGTCAGAATAGTACAGACAGGCTTACACATATGCAGGCACATGACCTCATTAAACGATCCGGAAACGTGTTAAATCTTAGTGTTTGCAAGTAAGTATAATGTGTAGAAAAACGGATGACAGTCACAGATAAAAATGATATGGTTTAAATATCCAGTACAAAATGACACAATTTTGAAGTCAAATATCATATTAGATGTACATAATATGTTGTCTTCAAAATTGTGACACTTGATATGTCTATAAATATCCTATGAAATTAGTTCATTGACTGTACTTATTACCTATATTCTTCTTAGATAGAGATTCTACGTAGAAAAAAATCGTTAATTACACAGAAAAATAAGCTATTGAAAGCCATTTTACCTCGTTGCACTGTCACCACCAACGCTGAATACTATTATGGTGTCATTAGGCCATGCTAGTGACGAAATTCACATTGTGATTTAAATCACATTTACGTATGAGTATATTAAAAAAAGAATGTTAACCGGTACAAGTGTTCAGAGATACATCTAACAAATATGTACTTGATCAATATCATATGCGTTATCGATCCCTAACTAACTCGTGACCATCTTTGTTGCTAGGGGCTACGGAGGTATGGACGAAAGGTTGCAGAGTATTAAACCGAAGGGCCCAATCAAGTTCTCGCCTTGGAAACATCAATGATGAAAGTCGTGCAAAACAGAAATTGTTAGTTTTGCAACAACCGTCCATAGTCATCTCCGAATTTCATGACGAATAATGAAGTCATCAGTTATTGTGTTTTCGTCATCAATGATTGTGTTTTGGGGTTATTAGTGCTACTAGCCGACGTGACTCGCTTTTCGTGTGAACGTCATTGGTGTTCATTGCAGTAATGGATGTGTGCGTTAATAGGCCATTAAAACATCAACAACAAGGATCAACGACATGATGCCACGAGCCATGCTTTCCCCGAAGTCTAAACGTAGTTCTGATTGCGGAACTACTTGCTAAAACGCTAAGAAAGCTACAAGTGCAGTGATTATGAGTTCCAGTGACAAAAGACCTCGTCCTTGCTACCCGTTTCACATCATAATTAATACTGATAATAATTTTCCAAATGATTAGCGAAATATTTTTATTCGGTTTCGTTATTAACGTTTGAATTGAAATAAGGTACACTTTTATATCAAATATGATGTGATTTAATTTTATTTATTTTAGAATAACATTGAATGATGACGTGTGTGGTCACGTGATGCTACGGATAAAATAAATAGTGCGATGCTGGAATTTTTCGTCCTTACTAAAAAAACTGACATTTTTTACAAGTATTGATTTTTTTCTCAAACAAAAGACAAAAAAGTATACGATGAATGAGTTTACTCGAATAATGTGGAATTAATAAGGGAAATTAAATATCATATTTAGTGTTTTGACAATTTATATATCAAACTGTTCAATAAGCCAAGTGATAATGACTTTTTTAAACCCCGTTATTTTTATGTCCTGTTGAAAATCTTGACAGCATACTTCAGATATTGTTTTCAGTACTGAAGATTTGTATCTCGCTAAAATGACGTAATTTATGCAATATGTGTGTGATATAGATTTAATGATATATGTATATATACAGAAAAAGATGTAAACATTTTGTTTTTTCTAATATTTTTATATACCCCTGGATATTAATCAGGCCCCTGTAGAATAAAATAGATGTTCAAATCGGAATTTTTAAAAATTGCATGAATCAGACAGGTAGTTTGGAAAGACACACCAATAAAATAAAAATAAAAAATCTACCTCTTTACAAACACATTGATTTATTGACAAAACAGAAACACAGAAAATGTCCGGTCAAAGTGTCATATTTTCACATTTTCTTTTCGATAAAAAATATTCCTTAATACAAAACACGATGTTTCATACTGTGTTTTTGATATTAAAGAGAATTATCAAATGTAGACAAAAATATACGTACAAATTATCTCCTTTAATAATCTTTTAGCATCTGATCAACCTGTCTTGCCCTATTTTCTATTTACCTATATATTCTGTGGTTATGTGTTTTCAAACATGTTGAACTAAACTTAAGGTTTTCGCTACATGACTATTGTAAATGTTACCTTGCTTCTCATCAGAATGAAGGCTATTAACAATTTCCGTGTGTGATATTTTTTGGAAGGCGGGCATCTTACATCCCAAATCATCCAACCATTTTTTTTTTTTTTTTTTCAAAACAAATGGGCCGATATGTGCAATACTGACTTTCAATAGACTAGCGTGCGAGAAGAGAGATGGTGTGAGTGCGAGTTAGTAAGAACCACCGACAGATGTAGCTGCGGATGGTTTGTAGGTTAACAAAACATTAAAAGGAAAGTTTATGTATATTAAACGCTTGTGTGTTTTTTTTTTTCCATTTTGTGATGTAAAATTTATTAAAGAACACATTTGCCTTGATGTTTTTGTGTTGTTGTTGTTATTGTTATTTGTATTTACAGAGTAGTAAAAATAAACCAGATCGACCACCATCAACTTCAAGGTAGGGGAAATAATACGAACTCTTTGATAAACGATGAAACGTTTCCACTGAAAAAAAAACAATGCAATTATTTTGGTTCTGTTATTTATTTTTAAAGGTTAGCTCCTGAACGTCGAATATACATCCTGTTATGAAAAATATCGTCTCGTAAACCTGTACAGCAACAGTCTGTTCAGCAGAGTAGGCGGAACGGTTGTGCTTCTCGCAATGATTGTTTCTAAGATCATAGATTGATTTATATATTGATCCATCGATTGATTAACGGGCTTAAAATCGAACATACAGAAAATTGTATATTTGTAAAATATTACGGCGGCCTCGCAATGGTAACCTAGAGATAAGACCAAGTGTTCCGAAGTTCCGAAAGGGAAAGCATCTTTGCCATTAATGATCGCCGACATTTAACAACCACGAAACCACCAAGAATAAAAAACATCTCTTGGATGTCGTACAAAGAAACATTGGCAGCCATCAATTATGTTTGCAGCCCCTACAAACTATGTTATTACATCGTAATTTACCTATCAAACGTCGACATTTTGCAACATTTGAATGTGGAAATGAAATACAAAGAAAATTCACGAGGCACTTGTAGTAGCATACTAAGCCGCTGATTCTAAAGTGACATGTCTCCTAACTAGGCCATGGTATCTGTTTAAGAATACCAGGCGGTCATGTGCATCTGTTAAATCTAGAATACAATCTTCGATAAAGAATATTAGTATGTTTTTTTTTTTTTTTTTTTTGTCAGTCCTTTTGAATTTCTAAAGATAATCAACATTGCTATTACTAGTGTTTACAAAATGCCGCAAATATCAAATAATGCATTTTTAAATGCTTGCCAATTCTTAAATTGAAATCCTTGATTTATTATTGGAAAACCGTTATTTCGTATTTTCACACATTTTGAACATCGAGCTAAAAGCAATATTTCCTTGCTACATCAAAACGTTGTCTGCGTCTGGTTATAAATTCTGTGTCCGACTTACAGGATGCAATTCGGTCTTGCTGGTATCCTTGGCTTAGATGCTTAAAATACTTTTCTGAATGGTAAATTACGTTTGCAGATGATGATCTTGTAAATATAACAGGCATCTTATCTGTTGTATCAGGACCAGTAATGAGCGCCAGCCAAGTTGTTCTTCTCCCACTCACCAACGTCAAATTCGCTACTGCTTGTAATACAGCAACGCATATTCATTCATTTTGCAAAGTGGTTCCTTTTCATACCAGGATGAACCTAAAATATCTACATCAAAGCTTAATTGTATTTATTAATAAAAAGAACGTTGGGAGACCATTAGGGTTTAAGGAATAAACTATTATATATTTTCATCAAACGTGAATAAGATCGTGTTCCTACAGGTAATATTGTGCAGAAAAAACCAAGGCACCGATGTAGCTTCGGTTGTACAAAGGCTGGTTAGAGATAACCAGTGATTAGGTAACATTTTAAAACATGAATCAAACAAAACTTGAAACATTACTTATTATTTCATTGAGTTATATATGTTAAGACAGGTCAAATTGATATATCTTTAATGTTACTTTTGTCTTTAATAGTCTTGTTTGTTCAGCGGCGACTATTTGATATTTTCACTAACCACTGTTTGTTTTAATTAACCTTTGAGCAGCTGGAGTCTGTACTTCATTTTACGGTGCGGCAACTGCATAGCTGATTATGGAATAAGAATATGTCTTTTACACCATCTTCCATTTAAAGTGATTATACACCAGTTCGGTGATATCCTAAATGAATATATAATGATATTGCTAACGACAAGATTTCACATACCATTTAGTGGATTTCAACATACAACTGTTACGTATTTCAAGGCTTCTTGTTCGCTACAAAGAGTCTAAATTGTTCAAATTTTGGTGTCTGCTTTGAAATATGAAAATTAGTCAAAATGCATATTTTTGTGATATGTATGTACATGTGGAATTGCTCTATCCTTTAATGTAAAATTAATATGGCTGTCTATAAGGAATATACAAAACCCTTCATGTGCATATATATGACCGGATCGGTACAATACAGCTATGCGTATAATTTGAAACGTGGCATTCAGTTTACGGCAAATCTCGGAAAGTTACGCCCACGAGTCTAGATAATGACCAAAACAGTAAATAAACCACAAAATAAGGGCAAAGTTATCTAAATAAGAACACAGCCATTTCAGTATAATGATATTTGACACTTTTAAGTTGTAAGCCTCTTTTCTACTTTTATTTATCCTAAATTTAATTTTGTTTGAATCAAGTATAAATCTGTAATCCAGATTATTGTGAACTTTTGTTTCCTTTGTTGTTAAACACATAAACACTTGACCTGGCATTTATGCACCTGTAAATGACACAGCACTCCCTCTTGATATACGCACTACTAAAAATCCGATTTGGACGTATCTTGTTTTTCAACTAAGATTACTCGAGTTACAGGTGTTGTATAGGATAGTAATGGAACGATTGACCAACTATTGTAAATACAATGAATGATGTTAACTAGAAAACCACATGTAAACAGGTACTGTTCACAGGATTGATTTCATGTTAATTCCTAGATAGGTTTATGAAATTAACATCAAACAACACCTGTTACGCCCTAACAACACCTTATGATCGATACTGTACAATTTACTTGGGTTCGCTCTTCTATCGACAGGGAAAGGAAGCTAGCAAGCAGCCCTCACAGGTACAACAATTTTATATCTTTACAATGTTGCTAAGAACTTTCATGAAATACAACTTATTATCTGTTCTTTATCTTTTACTCTGAACTAAATTAAATATATCTTTGCTTTTGAAAAACAACTTTTCAGAGAAAAACTTTGAAGATATAGTTATTGAATAACAAATAAGATGTTTTTACGCCAACTTACAATATGAGCGTTTTGTTGACACAGTTTGACGTGAAAATTAACCTGAAGTGTATTTCAATATTTTTTTTAAATTTCAGTTGCGTTTTTAAAATTTATTTAATATATTTGTTTACGTTTTAATTCTATGTTATTTGAAAGGAAATTGTGTTTATGCTAATATGCACTTTAATATTTATATTTCTTTGGCATAAACCGTGTTACATATAGATGATATTGGTAAATACTTTCATAGTTCAACAGCGCTCGTAATAATTACAGCTGGTCTGTTGATTTGACTTAATGACACAATATCCATAAGCTAAAAGCCAGGTTTCATTATATACCGTAAATAAGCATACGAGTACAAATTTTCACTTTTGCCCATACAATAACTATGTTACACGCAATGATAGACTGGATTGTTAAGGTTGCCTGCGATGACTCTGTGGACTTTTGTCCATTTTACGTCGTCGTCAGTGAACAATTTATATTTCCACTCCTCCTAAAAACGAGAACCAATTACATAGAACTGCCTTGAAATCGTTGATGTCAGAGCATGAACTATAATAGTGAGTTATAAAGTTCCTATAAATTTGAGGGAAAGTTAAAAATTCTCCGTAGTTGGATTGTTTCTGCATGGGATAACGTCCTCGCAACGGCAATAGTAGAATGAGGAAACAGTTAACTTATAAGGAAGAGCTTCCTAGATTGAAAGAGTTGAGGTGTTTTATTAATTTGTGAATTTCATGACCAAATGATCTCACATTTCCCTCACGGGAGGGGATACGGTGACTAACCGTCACTCTTCGCCCTATCAGGGACTAAAGGGACACTCCAAAAGAAGTAAAGTTAAGCCGAAACCTGACTGTTCCTCATTTACACGGATGTTGAAATCAAATGCTCTTCATTCCCTAACCAGCTTACTAGATTTCTGGAAGGACAGTTTGATTTGACAAGTTCCATCTGACGAAGTATCTAATCGTGGCCCTTTCCAAATGTTTATTTGTTTGTTGCCTTTGTTTTAGTTGGTGTGTGCGTTTTTGTCATTGTTGTTAACAGGACGATTTCTTTGCCATACAACAACAACAACAACAACAACAACAACAACAACAACAACAACAACAACAACAACAACAACACCAAAAACAGCAGTTTTATAGGACTCAGTTTACCGTTAAGGCTCTTGGGTCTCATTTCTGCCATCAAGTGTGGAGCGGCACAATAGGTTGAAAAAACAAAATTTATGTTATAGAAGTAGAGATGTTGCAAGTGTAAATCCTGTACTGTTTATATAAGAACGTGTTTAGCCGATATTATTGGTAGTAATTAGGATATCTTTTAATTAAGGTAAGATTTTTTAACAAAAAATATGTTCTTTTCTTGACAGTATGATACATACATACAAAACCTGGAAATTAGATAAAATAAGGTATACTAGCTATTTCTACATTATTTTCAGGTCAGCAGTCAATGGCAATGGAGTCATCCGTCATCTTTCTTTTGATTTCGATGTTCCTGATAAGGTAGGCAAGTCGATGGAATAATGGACGCATATCGATATTCTGTTTGTTTAAGAAGTCGGAATTGATCATATAATTGCGAAAGAAAATAGGAATCACGATATTTTTATTTGGATTGAACAATAAAATACCGGACCTCTAATAATACATGTGTGTGACATCAGATTTAAGTTTTAAACGTCTCCTGTTTAGATGTTGAAACAAAATGTGGCAATGAAAAACTTAATTGTGATTCTTTTGTTTAATAAATGCAGAGAGCACATCCTTTAACTATATACTGTATGTATACTAATTATATTCATTATTGAAGTAGATTTTAACATTTTAAGACAGCTTTACATTAAAAACTGTTCTGATATTTCAATGCACTTTTTTTCATTTCTGTCCCAGTAACTCGTGTGAATGTATATTTATCTAACGAAATGTAGATACATTCTAGACCATAATGCAATGACATGACGTCATTTGGTACCGTGTTTATCAACACTACGATAAAACTATTATATTATAATTTCCGATAAATCATGTACAATGTAGATGATTATTGCATTCAAAATTAGCCAAACTTTTTCAACAATTGCGCAAATAGAAACTTTTTTTATAATCATATTATATGAAAATGAAAATGATAATATGATATCTAAAATATAAATATTAGACATTTGTTTTATCTTATCTATTGATATGAAATGAATTTTTCTGATAAATCATGATATTGTGCGTACCTAGCAAATAAATCTACAAGAAATTCTATATATTTTTACAGATTTATGGTATGACAGTATATTCATCTGTCATATAAATTCATAATAAATACAATGTATTGATCATTCTATGGTAAGACAGTATATTTATCTGTCAAATAAATTTACAATATATTATAAATGTTGACCGCTCTGTTATTATATTGTATGTTTATCTGTTAAATGAATTTACCGTTCATTTTGAAGTACGGTGAAATCCTCTTAAATGATCTCCAATATGAAAATATCATATAATTTCACCAGCATGTATTTGAGATCCCAAATTTATTAATACCATTATAAAGATATAACTTCTAAATATACAGAAAACATATTACATTCAGATAATAGTAATGATCAAACACAGACCATAAGAGCTACATTAAGAAACCGTCACTGCGTCCAGAAGAACAAAACCTATATCGTTTATAGTTTCCCTGTTATGACGGGTTGTGTTTCATTTTCAGTGTTGCAGCACAAAAACCATGTGCAGAGAGATTATTTGATGTAATTGATTCAGATAACAGTGAAGATGTCAACATAACCGAATTTGAACTGTGCTTTTCTGAAACAGGTCAGTTTGCGTGTTTCTATGAAATGCGTGCAAAGTTTGTCGGCAGCCAAAAGTTGCTTAACTACATGTTACTATTACGATAAACATGAACACAGAATTTAACTTAATGTTTTCGCTGTATCGTTATATTTTGCTCATTATGCCATCATTATAAGGCGACAAGGGTTTGATTACACTATTTAAAGATTCTGTATTTGTTCAACGAAATCAAGCAGAGTTTGTATTAGAATAGAAAACGGCGAATCTTCAGAAGAATATGATAGAGACAATATTTATTAACTGTTTTGAAAGAATTGTCTTTAAATGTAAGATTGCTATAGAGTTGATTAATTCTTTTATACAAATTAAACTTTTGCGAAAAGCCTTGATAGGGCACATTTTTATCACATGTGCCCGATTCCTTAAAAATGTCTGCAACAAGAACGGTTATTCATAAACACAAGTGTCAAACTATTCTTCTTAAACGCAATCAAAAACATTCACTGACACACATATGTTGCTAGATGAACTAGATAGACATACTATCAGATCGGAAATTACATAGTATAAAAGAACCAAGATTCCAGGTCAATGGAGAATGGTACCTCGTTTTAACATTTAACTCTTGATATGTTTATCTTTCGAACAATGAGCGTAGTATTGATTATATGGGAGATCTTAATAACAATTGTTGGCTACTATACAATGCTGGTCTTCATCCCGCTTGACCTATAGAAACAACAGCTGTTCTTCCGTTCTATGGAAAATCATTTAGAGTTTGTTATGGAGGATTGGTCGACGCCATATAAAAACAACCACAAACGTATCAACAGAGACGTAAAATGCCAGGATGCATGTTTTTATCGCCATTTACGTCATTGTGACGTATTTCACAAGTTCATGTGATGCGGCTTGATGTAACAATAGAGAACATGCACATGAATGAAAATCTGATTTTATTCGTTTCTCGTTTGATGAAAACAAAACATTTCTTTCTGGCATTGAAGTAATTTGATTTTGTATGTATCCCAGTTTTGAGATAGAATTTTGCCCATTTGTTTGAACGTGTAAAGATACTGGATAGGACTTCCGATATGTTTCTCCAAATAAAGCATTGAATTGAATGTGGTCTCCCGATAAATAAATGTAGATTTTCATGTAACACATTGAGGTGTAATCGAGGTGATTTGTGTTACATGTATTTATCAATTGAGACAAATCAATGAGACAAATGTACATTCAACGAAACAAACATGAAGTGCATAGGATGGGATATGGCTTCAAAAAGGCATGATCAGTACAATTAGCACATGTCTGCAAGAAAACAAAGAAAGAAACATACATATAAAATGATCTATAGTGTTGTAGTAATCTGTTTGTCTTGTTGATTCTATAACAAATCTGTGGGTGGATGGTCGGGTGGCGCAGTGGTAACGCACTCGCCTTTCACCGACCGGGGTTCGATTCCCGGAACGGACGTGAAAAGGTAAGGGGGTCACCTGCCCGACCACGTGGGTTTTCCCGGGTACTCCGATTTCCTCCCACAATAAGACCCCTTACGCGCTTACATCCGGGCCAACAAGAGTGATTAGTATAAGTTGACATAACTTGTTTCGCAATTGTTGTAAAATAAATAAAGTTTATTATTATAACAAATCTGAAATATATCTAGTTGAATAAGTCATTCATTATCATTGACAGAAAAGAAAATCATCACCAAGAAAGAATTTTTGAAGGCAATCGCAGATCATAAGTTTGATAGTAAGTACTATAACCCCTGTATTTTTGTCTTTGTGTTTCTTTAATCATTTACATCATATGATAAGATGGATTAATAATATAATGAATTATTTTATCTATGCTTGAACTGTTCATGCTATAATATATGTAAGGCATTTGAATTATACTTCTACAGAATATATAATCACTGATGAGACCCAGAAGGGCGAACAGGTTGTATGATGCATCATAGTTTATTAATATGTTCTGCTTTATCTTATTCTAATGTTGTTCAAAGTTTCTATTTACTCATGTGTCTTTTGTAAATATTCCACTGAACGAATAAATATCAATAAAACCTGAAATTGGTAACATTCTTGACAAGTTTATGCGGCGTTTCACACATGTTTATGATAGTAATGTGGTTGAATAGTTTTAACATTACAAAAAATGATTCTATGATATACTAGTTTATAGTGTTGTTGAATAACATAAAATCCTAATTCAATCAAAACGTCTCAATCAAAATATTGCCAAGTGTTCCAATACATTTCCATATATCACATCTAGTAAAACATGCATACGACAGCCACATGAGTAAAGAGTGTACGCTATCAGTTAAGTGTCATACAGAAATCTGTTCTGTACGTAAGCACCTTTATGCTTATAAAAGTGAAAAATGTACACTAACGATAGGCTATAACGTTTTCGGCTCAAGTCTGCAGTTTTGGCCTTATTGCCAGTGAAGATTTGCATAACAATTCAAATATCTTTTACAATCTATTGTGTTTTTATGATGTTCTCATTACGTATAAGATAGGCCACAATTATGACTTTCGTACTTGCGTTGGATAAAATATAACTAAACAGGTATAAATGTTTCTCTCTGTTCTGTTTAGTGTCTTTAAATATTTGTATTGGAATAAGCATTGCCCAGATACACAGTTGGTTTGCTGTTAAAATGGACATATTCTGGTCTAGTTTACCAGATTTCTGAAGCATATCGTCAGAAAATCATTAGTCTATACTTTTACATGCGTTAAACTCTTGTTGCGTTGAGCCTTCGAAGAACATTACAACTGTGTGAGACATTTTTTGCCATTATTCAGTTTACACTTTAGTTCAAATCGAATATGTTTTGAAGCCATATCGCATTGTAAAAACCCTCGAAAATGACAACCTATTCAAAACTTACGCCAAAGTTTGTTCCCTTGCGCATAGCATAGAAAATAAGTCGGTGAAATGATGATGTCGATACTCAGAATCTGGTGAATATTGTTTTGATTTATTGTGATGAAATTTGGAATACCTCATTGCTTTCAGCCTGTGGAGTCGATCCATCTTTCGTGTTTAAGACCCTCTCAAAACAGAAAACCAAAATGGACTTGGAAGAAGTATTTCTTCTAGATTACGACATAAATGAAGGTGAGAAAGAAAGATTCGCCAATAAATCTATCATGGTATCAAAAATATAATCATCATTGTTCGTTTTTATGTCTGTTTTCATCCAATTAGAAAAAACATTGACGTCATTTTGTAACGCCATGTTTGACAAGCCAATGCGATTGCGTAAGAAATTATCAAAGTTCAGATTCCATCATAAATTAAAAAAGAAATGTAATCCATTGTTAAATTATCAGACTTAGATTATTTCTTATGTTATTGATCCGTAAAAGAGATTATCTAGTGAAGAGTCCGTTCTTTTGTGTAATGGCTCTGTTACGTGAAAATAATCCTTGTCAAATCTATATAGCAGTCATTTATATAAAGCTGGCAAAAACAAAACGAAAAGAAAAACTGAAAAATACGAATCGGTTTTCACCTGTTACTGGGTTTTAAATCAAGAAAATTAAAATGGGATATATATAACTGTGACAGGACAAATATGGATAAATAAATAAATTAATTAATTAATAAATTAGTTGAGGCTTACAGATTTCCAACATTAACATTAGTGTTATGAACAATAGTCCTCAACATGAAGGGTAAATCATTTTTCGAAGCAACAAAACGATTTGATCTATAAAAGTACTAAAAGTACATTCGATGTGTGTGCAGATTTCCATATATATCTTCGTATCGAGTATAATATATTTTCGTCTTGTGGGTTTTTTCGTTTGTATATAAAGATATAATATCGGTGTTGAACAAGTCAATAATATGTTGCTGACACGAGAGAAGGGGGACAAATCTTGCACACTTGTGCGAAAACTTCATGAAGATCACAGAAAATGATTTAATCATTAAAAAGCCCAGATTATCATTAAGCTGATATAGCCTGCGACGACGGTAATGATGATAATGGAAATAATGTCTTATCGAGTCACCGAGAAACTGAAACAAATGAGTCGTGAAAAAGGCATCGAGTTTTTAGGATCAGGAATCTATACGTACTTTCCTTATATCTATTGTCATGTAAATATCACAAAATGTTTTGTCATTGTTTTGTGTAGTTTTGACACTGTTAGTTATCTCAATGAATCTGTGTTAGTTATGTCAACTGTATCAGATTTCTGTATTGATTAACACAATTGGTAGAAGTACAATATCATATGTTCATAAATATGACAAAAACCGATAAGGTGATACAGGGACATTACCTTTTTATAACAACTTTATATTTCAGATAAGAAGATAAGTCTGTCGGAATTCACGTCGGAACATTATAAAGTGAGTTCAAATTATACAACTCATAAAGCCACCTCCTTGCACAGAATAATACATAACATGAAACACGAAACCAAAAGAACATGTACAAGTCAATACATTTGTCTGAATGATGCACTTCGTAATTTCATTGAAAAGTGTAAATGAATATATTTTCTTTATAAGGAAATGTACAACGTAATTTACAACAATTATGGCTTTGTTTAGAACTTATTCTTTTTGTAGTTATCAATGTATCATTTTTGCTTCTCAAAAGCTGGAGAAATTATTTTACAATCTATTAAACACGGGTAAAATTTCGAACGGAAATTTAAATCTAAAACTTTCGGATCAACATTCTTTACTGTGTATGATGCATCGTGTTAATTAATTGATGTTTGAACGTTTACAATTCGTTTCTATGTATATGATATAAACATTATGATTAAGGAGTTCCATCATAAAATAGATATTTTGATCATGTCAAGATTTTCCAGCTGTCTATCACCACAACATCCAAAGATACGTTTTGTTTGGAGGATGCCAGGATTGTGTAGTTGGTTAGGCAGTTTTCGAATATCTTGGCATGGCGATTCGGTGCCATTGTATTATCATGTTCATATACATACATGAGTGCTAATTATAGCATCGGTAACAATGATATTATTTTGTTTAATTTCAGATATATTTCAAATGGATGAGCAAAAACGTGTTATCACTTGTGGGATTTTAAATGATAAATGACAAGGACATCATATCGATTTGTTTGGATGCAAAAAATGTAACCGATTCTTTGGAACAAAAATAAAAAAATATTAAGCTACTGTTTTGGTGAAGTGTAATAATTGCATTATTTAGCAATTTCATTTCAAGAATTCTAATATGCGTTTAATAAATTCCATCTTCAACCATTATTATGTCTAGGATCACTCTCTTTGCAATATTTGAGAAATAATCGTGTTTTATGTTTTTGCACATTACATCAGCATGACTAATATCATACAGGAAATGAAAATGGCCACGAAGGAATGCTTTATTAGATTTATATCAGTAGGAGGTATTTACAAACAAGGTAATAACGAGAAGTCAAACTCAAGGGAGAAATTATCGTAAAGGATGACAAAGTCCACTCTTAAAAACATCCAGAAAAAGTGAAAAAAAGCTTTCCGAGAATAAGACATTGCATGATTTTTTATTGAATAAAACTGTATTTATGCTGTTGCTATTTTATAATACAAAATGTATATTCTATTAACTCTGTATACAAGTAAGAGACGAGATGTATCTATACCTTATATTTACAATTTTGGATTGTAGTATTGGAACTAAAACACACCTGCATAACTAAAACATACTTCACAGGAGAACGGCTGATGGACTGAACTCACGGACAATGTATATGATACCGAACGATTTGCACACGACACATTTTCTCACCGATTCAGTGGCTTTTGTAACACTTTGCATTTGGCTCAATTTCCATCGTCGTCTATGCTCTTTAAAACCTTTGGTTTGCCCTTGACATTTTGAATAATCTGGAGGGATTAAGCAAGTCTCTTGTTTCCAAACTACCCCTCAGGAAATTTACCTGCCATTTTTTATTATTTGTACATGCTCGAACATGGACAATATCGATACACTTCGGTGCTTGGGAGTAAATACTTCTTTATATACCAACACTTGATGACCACAGACTTTTGAAAAACTAATTACTTCATACACATCGTTTTAACATCAGCAAGTTCAATTGTACATTCATTTTATAGCGGAAAGCGAATTTCATTTGTAATTCAAATGTTTACAAATCTGTTCTTATTTCAAAATCTTTCTGAAAACAAGGACAATGTCTATAAAATCTTAATTCAAATTCAATTTAACTGACATTAGGGGTAGAAATGAAATAAGAAAGTTCTACATGGAGATTTTACAGTCCAAAAAAGAAATGTCACGTTCCCAGATGAGAACAGGGTAAATAACAAACAACGAAATCACCAGACATACACAAGGAAATACAATATTTTGTAGACCATCACTTGTCGACATCTTGCAAGAAACTCGTAATTTTTGTAACGGGCCATCTAATATCGAATGAACTGCGATAAGTAACCATACAACTGGAATGTAAGCAAACACCACAGTAGAATGTAGAAGGATGACCATGTATTTACATACAAGCCTAATCGCTATTTGTTTTAATCGATAATCGCAGACTATTGAACTGGGAAGCTTCATATAACGAGTATTAAGCGCAAGTATATATCACAATGTATTGTTCTCATTCATCTTAAAACATTCTTCAGTCATTCCATTTATGCACTGTATAACTTACCAATACTGATTATTGAAAAAAGACGAATTTTCTATAAGCATTCATAGGAAAGCAGTGTGTGCCATTCTTTGTGAACAAGTGTTTCTTTAAAATCCTGTCTTGATTTACGGTTTTGCATCGAGAAAAATAAATCAATGCAGCCTTTTTAGTGATAGCATGTTTAGTTCAAGTGTGAATTTGTAGCTTCTAATTACATTGTGCCTAAAGAACGTGATGACATAACGAATCGTCCATCGAGGCGATATTCCTTTAATTGCGATCGTTAAGGAGACAACTGTCTAAGTTTTCAAGGACAGCGGGAAGTAACGGGAGTCTGATATTTAAACTGACTGGTTAATTTCTACAGAAGAAGTATCTAGAAAATTGTTTACTTAAATTAGCATCGTTTTTCTGCAATCTGTAACGAAAAAGCTGAAGTCGTTACCGACATAAAAGACAACCGACAAACATCATGTTGAAGACACACTTCTCAATTTCTATCAAAACAGATATTGAATTTACTTGTTATAGTTTTTTATATGAAGTTAATTTAATATATTTGCAATGAGTTTTCCAAACCGAACCTTTAATTGTCATCAAGTGCTTTCTTTGCATATAAAGCTAGTTTTAGATTTAAGAAAATATGGGATAGATCGTTTACTACAAGGAAAATTTGTATTAACTAAAATGTTTGATTACAAGATAGGTAGGACCAATTTAAACGTGAATTACCTATCATGAGCTAGTAATTTCTTATACAAGCGATTAATTAAAAATCACACAGGACTTCAGTTTCGAATATACCTTAAACAATTTTCGCAGCGTGGATATTTAAGGGGGAAACAATAACAACAACAACAACAGGATAATGAAATACCACTGATGATTTAATACACCAAAATAACAACAGGCTAAAAGATAGATGCAAGAAATGAACAACAGGATTATTAGATAGCGTTAAGGAATTTAAGACATGATCTGAAGAAAATTAAAGATAATTTTAATCCTAAGATAACATTTTCTTGTAGTCCGGGTTTCATGGAATCTTGGCATTGTTTATGTAAAAAAGCTTATTAACGCAACATTAACGTAAGAATATGAAAATCGTGATTGATATTCAGTATGCTTACAAATATATGTCGAAATATTGACTTAAAAAGGATAATGCGATCAAATTTCATAATCTGAAGTTCTTAGTTTGCTTTTGCAATAACGAATATGCAACGTTCCAAGTGGTAAAATTTGACATATTTTATGAATTATTTTTTATGAATGAAAGTAGTAGCTTTAAAATCTGTCGCTAGATGTCATGGTTCAATCGACATAAACTTATTATAGGTAAGAGCGTATAACACAAACGAATGAGTACATATATGTCCTTTGACATCTATTTTGATATAGAAGGTTGGACGGATTCATGAATTAACTTTCCGGAATTTTTGCCTCCAGTTTAGAATGTTCATGCAGCAAGAAATACATCGAGTAAATAGAAATACTCTATGAAAACATGAACATTTTTTGTGGTATCAATTAAAAATGACATTGATTGATTTATGTTACAAAAACGCTTAAATAAAGGAACTGCCTATGGCAAATAACTCAATAACACACATTTCCCAAGTGCGAAAATGAATTAGGTTGTTTATTGTCAGTAATAGTGGACAAATATTATGACTTAAAGATGCTTTCGCATGGTCTTTGTAATGGTATTTGCAATTAAGGGCAGACTCGGTTCGAAAAACATTTATTGGACAATAACTGTAAAATGTGGAAAAGCAATCAGACGAGACCATCTTGTAAAGTTAACTCAATCATCATCACAGCAAGGCATTGATGTGCAATATATGCTTGCCTCGTTTCGTCCTCTGCTATAGCTTAAATGTTAGCATTTTAGCCGTTTTACACTATAAATAAAAGAAAAGATATGTTGCTAAAGTTAATGGTGTGTTTGTTTTAATTAATGTTGGTTATGTGGGGGTATTTTGATACCAGATTGATAAATGGCACCGTAGAATCACAGGAACGAGATTTATAGTCTATTAGAGTAATTTGCATTCGTACATAAAGTCAAAGGTTAATCAGTGTTAATGACGTCATAAGTATCGAAGCTGTGTTCGTTCCATGATTATTTTTACCTAATTATAGTTGGTCATTCAAGTCAAGATTTATGTCCGAAAAAAGAAAAAGTTTTCAGTGTACAGCATTTTTCATTCTTTTTTACTATTTTTTTTATTCGTATTCTTTAATTTTGATGCTTAATATTCATTTCAATTTTCCTATGACAGGTATATGAATGTTATTATGCCTGCAGATAAGGTGTCCAATAACTTACTTTGCAGACATAATTACATTTCCGACATGCAAAAAGAACCACGCTTGCTTGATAGCGAAGGGAATCTCATCTATACAAAATGCATTGTTTCGAATGAGCAAATATTGACTAATAATATTTCACTATTACAATAATTTGAATTGTCTATTAATAAGGATACGGACCTCCCCCGTTTATGTTGGATTATTAAACCTTACAAGAATCCATTAAAACAATCTTAATGGCCGGCACGTCAATCTCTTCAACGAAACCTTAGCCCAAACTTCTTAATGCTATAGGTGTTATGTTGTATTGTTTATATGAAAAGTAGAATCAATGACCAATCTTCCCATCCTATTCTTAAAAACTTTTTTATGAAAAAAAAACCATTAGATTTCCCCTCTGTACAACAACATTCACAACTTAACGAAAGGTGAGCGTTGTTACTAATGCATGCTTGTGAACAATACTGTAGCATATTGGGGCGGGGAGAGTGAGGCACGTCCAAAATAAAGGAGAGATATGCGGAGGACGAAATCATAGAAAAAATAATCGAGAGATTTCGGTTATCAACATCACCGTTGTGTTTGGTGGTAAGATCTTCCAAAAGACTACTGACTAACTGTGCCCCTCTGTTGGCTGATTTTTTTTTTTTTTTTTTTTTGTTATTGTATTTTCTCTAAATAACAAAATATTTATTAACCACATCAATCGTACATACCAATAAGAATTGAAACTGTAGGACATGGAAGACTCCTCTAAATCAGCCATTTATCTTGATCTTTTCCAACAACGAAAACCAACTTGAATCGCTTCCTCCAAGCTATATGATATGTGTGATGCTTTCAGCTTCCCCATTTTGAATGCGCCTGGTTAGCAACATGCCTGCACCTCGAGCCTATGCTGTTTTTAGATATCCAAGTTAGCGGAACGTGTTTGATGCTCGTTAATTTGCTCATTTGTTCCGTTGTTGTTTACCTTGTTCTCATTTAAGATTTTCTTGGATTGACCAAGATTTAGATGGCGGGTGTCGTCGATGAAGTTGCTCATTCTTTTGGAACACCTGGTCTTATTCGACTTATACTTTTCTCAGGAGATTGTGTATAAATCCTCACTCGGTTAATATTTTACCCTTGTTTTATAGAATTTAAGACTGGGTTATAATTCTGTTCACACAGGCATATTTTCTTGTTATATTTTGATTTATTTATTTTTTTGGAATTTGGACGTTTCTAAGAAACAGGATAATGCTACCTATACACGATCAGTCGGGGGATACTAAGGCTCCAAAACAATTCAGGACTAATTCTAAATGCTCTAAAATTGAATTAAGTATGTTTTATCAAAACAGTCCTTTCCCTTATCCCATTTGAGCCAACTAAGTCAGTGCTGTATCTAGCGTACCTGATGTTGTTTTCCGTACCCTTTTCCGATGGTGTCTGTATCGCTGTTGCATTTATCTATTTTTTTTTTTTTTTCAGTTTGGGTTACCAATTTGTTAACTTGTCGGTTTTTGCTTTGGTTGTCCCACAGTTATTGATAAAAACGTACCTTTATGGTCAGATAACTTGAATATCCAAAGAACATGCACTTCTCAATTTCTTAAGTATTGATCTGGTCTACAGATATGATGTATTTAGGAAGGATATACGATTCAAAATTTGTTCGATATGGTTCCCGCCGTGCCTATTAACACACTCGGTTATAAAACGTTTTAATCAATTATTGAACACATTTTGCAATCCGTGCTGACAAAACATTGATATTTTCTTTCGTGTACACACCTGCTTCCGTGGCCATAGAACAGCAGGTTTCCTCATGTGTTAGCTGTTTAGACATATTTTAAAATGTTAAAGTATAGCTGTTTTCATTTAAGATGTTAGCAGCTGACAGGAAAACTACCCATGCAGGTTTCCGAAGATCAAGTGGAAGGAAAGTGCCTTGAGTACAGTAATTTTCTATAATGGTAGGTGTCGTCCATGAAGCAGAAGACGCTTACTTTTCCGGAACACCTGGTCGTAATCTCCTTGTATTTTTATCAGGGGTCTCCTTGTTAATTTTTCGTTTCTATTTGCTCTAGTTTTATAGAATTTGAATTTGAATTATTATTATGTTGCCATGTTGGTATTTTCTTCATTTTTTGAAAATATGTTATATCTGTATGCAAAATATGAAGTAATATGCAATCGATACTATTTGTTTGCCTTGCAGTTTCTTTCTGAGAAAGGTACGGGACATCAGTAATGTTGCATTTCATTAACTTGTTTGAAATTTACATCTGTCCATTGCTCATTTTACCCACACAGACTGATATCGAGGATATATATATCCCATAATCACATTTTGGGTTAATATGCACCTTGCGTTTCAGTGACAGCATTTCTCAATTTTTCATTTCAAATGGCATGAAAATGCTGGTTTTGAAATACGGTATAAATTCACAAATGATACTTAAAATTGCTGTTTCCATTAACAGAGCAGATTGTACAAAAGACGCACATGTGAATATCACCATTTAATAGAGATTAGCGGAGACAAACATCAGCTTAAAATGCATTCCACAGCTGTTTCGACCGTCTAGAACTTAGGTCCTAAATCACCTTCCCGGAAGGTGTTACAACGAAATAAGTATGGATAATATTGTATACTTTACAAGCATTCTGATATGAAAATATTCTCATTGATTCACCACTGTCGACATGGAAATGAAGCAAGTATTTTGTTGCATAGGTTAAGGAAAATATTTCATTTTATTCATCGATCTCTATGATTAAATTAAACAGACAGTAAATAACAAATCTGTCATCGTCTTGAATTTCTAGTTTATTGTCTAAATCTTCGTACGTTGGAATACGGTATTGTCCATTAGCCTTAGCACCAAGTAACCATCCATTCAACACTAGAACTATACAAATCTACTGATCACATGGTTGGATATACGATGGAACTGATACTATGCGAATAAGTTAATGTATTTGTTATAAACCTGTTTCTCATATAGAGTGCTTGCCATTGTTTTGCTATCTGAAGTAAATTCAAAACCTGTAAGTTACAATTACAATCTTCCTCGTCCTCATTTTGTTTTTGATTAATCATAGATGATCTTGCCTTTTGTCGTCGAGTGGGAGAAAGGAGGTTGGGGATGTAGGGATAACTTAGGCGGCAGAATGTTTGTCTATGTTACCCCATGTATGGTTCGGTGTTCCAAATTTTAAATATTGTTTTCCCTTTTCCTTCGATATTCAATGTTATCTTAAATTGAAGTTTATGTGATGTTCGAGCTAATCAGTTTCTATTCAATACAATGCATGCTTATGGAAATCTTTTTATTCAAGTACATGATAAATGAGAATAGTTACAAGCATTGCGAAGACACTTGATGAAAATCCGTACTTGTTCAGTAATCCTTTCAAGATATTTTCAGAAATACGTAGAACTCGTGAAAATATTGTTACGAATGTGTTTGTACATCTATATATAAAAATGAGACAAGCTTATATCCGCAAAAATAGTAATTGGTAAAAAGTATGAAAAACTATTTCAAAGTAGCACTTCATGACAAAAATATTTCTTGTATGTTTTCATATTGTATATCTGAATAGAGATCGAAATCCGAAATCTGAACGCGTGTTGAGGTTTTTTTCAGGACTAAGGTCTAACTCAACCATCAGACATCATTTTTACAGATAAACATTTGTATTACGAACTGGAAAAATGACAAAATGGGAATGGATGATATTTTTCAGAGTTTGAAATAAGCACACTCAGTTCATCTCTTATGTTAAAGTGGTGTTTCGAAAACTTCGCCTGTGTCCGACCTAATATGAATACTATCAATTATACAGAAGTCTGTCTTTTCTTTCCATTTTTCCAATTTTCCATGGACAACTCCATAGCAACATTAATCGAATCATCAACATGCACGCAATGCTTTGTGATATGTCACTTTGGTTCAGTATTTCACGTCAAGTTGTTTTCTCGTTCCGCAAATTAACAGTTACATCACATCTCCAAATGTCACACGACGTATTGGCATAATCTAAGAAAAAAGTAGTCAGTGTTCCTTTTCTGGAGATCGACAGAAAACATTTACATTTCCGGTTCCGGTTGTAAGTGGGTAATTTTTGACGATGCTGCAGGCGAAACAGATTTATAGCCTGAAATATATATAATGAAACATGAAATAATGAAAGTAGATGGTTATAAACAATAATAATAATAACAAAAATAAAAAAACAACACAAACAAGAAAATATAAACATAATCATAATCAAAGCACATATTTAATAACAATAATTCAAAATATGGACAAAAGAAAGATTTACACGAAGCTTTATGAAAAAGTACAAATGTAAGACCATATGTTCCACTGGAAATAAAAATTCAGCAGTCATTGTATAGATAGAGGAATTAGTTTTGATGGCTATAATATGCATATGTTGGGAGCATTTCATTACGCAAATAATTGATACACTAATCATTTTGATATTGTCATAAAAATACAATAAATCTCAGTTTTGAAATACGCTGTGGTTCCTTAGCGATACAGTTTATCGTACGTTCAGCGATGACATACGACCGGGATGTATAATAAATCTTGTTATCAGGTACTATCAGATTAATATAAACTTGTTCTGGTATAATGAACACCGATGTCTCTTAAAATCGTTCCATAAAAACAGACAATCTTATCCGGATTGCATCGCGTTCACTGCATTCACCGAGGCCAACATCCTCCTAGAAAGTGAACGTCACACAACAAGAATAATGTCGTGCAAGACTTCAATTGATTAGACGTAATTGAACGTTTGTTTCTTACATGAATGTTATATTCTTTGTAAATTCATATTGCCAGTTTTTACCGTTTCGTACAATATAAATTCCGTCATGTTTTTCGAAAGAAATGTATTACTGACATTCAGGTTAATGTCAACATCTACTTAAACACTTGTTCAGGTAATCGTTTAATTAGTTCTTGTCGAAGTAATTATATGTAGAATTAGTTGAAATGTCAAAGAAACCAATTAGCATTTGTAAATGAAGGTCAGATAAATATATGATTGTCGGACTGTGATCTTTTAATACGGCATGACGCCAAATATAACAATTGACTTCTATAACCTTACACGGTTTCTGTGGACAGGGATATCGCAACCCGACTGTTAGACTTTGGCTGGTCAGTTCATGGCTTAGTTTCCCTGGTCAGCAAATTGATTAGTTTAGGTGGTCAGCACGTGGCTTAGTTTAACTGGTCAGCACGTGGCTAAGTTTAGGTGATCAGCACGTGGCTTAGTTTAGCTGGTCAGCACGTGGCTTAGTTTAGCTGGTCAGCACGTAGCTTAGTTTAGGTGATCAGCACGTAGCTTAGTTTAGGTGATCAGCACGTAGCTTAGTTTCGCTGGTGAGCACGTAGCTTAGTTTAGCTGGTCAGCACGTGGCTTAGTTTAGCTGGTCAGCACGTGGCTTAGTTAAGGTTATCAGCACGTAGCTTAGTTTCGCCGGTGAGCACGTAGCTTAGTTTAGGTGATCAGCACGTGGCTTAGTTTATCTGGTCAGCACGTAGCTTAGTTTAGCTGGTCAGCACGTAGCTTAGTTTAGGTGATCAGCACGTGGCTTAGTTTAGCTGGTCAGCACGTAGCTTAGTTTAGGTGATCAGCAAGTGGCTTAGTTTAGCTGAACAGCACGTGGCTTAGTTTACCTGGTCAGCACGTGGCTTAGTTTAGGTGATCAGCATTTGGCTTATTTTAGCTGGTTAGCACGTAGCTTAGTTAACCTGGTCAGCACGTAGCTTAGTTTACCTGGTCAGCACGTGGCTTATTTTAGCTGGTCAGCACGTAGCTTAGTTGTGGTGATCAGCAAGTGGCTATGTTTAGCTGTTCAGCACGTGGCTTAGTTTACCTGGTCAGCACGTGGCTTAGTTTAGCTGGTCAGCACGTGGCTTAGTTTAGCTGGTCAGCACGTAGCTTAGTTTAGGTGATCAGCAAGTGGCTTAGTTTAGCTGGTCAGCACGTGGCTTAGTTTACCTGGTCAGCACGTGGCTTAGTTTACCTGGTCAGCACGTAGCTTAGTTTAACTGGTCAGCACGTGGCTTATTTTAGCTGGTCAGCACGTGGCTTAGTTTACCTGGTCAGCACGTAGCTTAGTTTAGCTGGTCAGCACGTAGCTTAGTTTAACTGGTCAGCACGTGGCTTATTTTAGCTGGTCAGCACGTGGATTAGTTTAGCTGGTCAGCACGTGGCTTAGTTTACCTGGTCAGCACGTGGCTTATTTTAGCTGGTCAGCACGTGGCTTAGTTTACCTGGTCAGCAAGTGGCTTTGTTAAGCTGGTCAGCACGTAGCTTAGTTTAACTGGTCAGCACGTGGCTTATTTTAGCTGGTCAGCACGTGGATTAGTTTAGCTGGTCAGCACGTGGCTTAGTTTACCTGGTCAGCACGTGGCTTATTTTAGCTGGTCAGCACGTGGCTTAGTTTACCTGGTCAGCAAGTGGCTTTGTTAAGCTGGTCAGCACGTGGCTTAGTTTAGCTGATCAGTATGTGGTTTAGTTTCGCTGGTCAGTACGTGGCTTTTGCCAACAGAACAAACCCATATTTGTTAGATTATTTACTCTCATACTAAAAATGAGTTGCAAGTTATGAAACTTATTCATCCCACTGCATCAATATCCCATGACATGTGGGTTAAATTTGATGTTGTATTAGCCTGCGATATGGTCAACCTATATAAAATGTTGATGATACCCTATTGTAAGTAGGGCATAACACGTGCTATCCGCCATACCCTATGTACAGAGAAATCGTGAACAGTAAAACGGGAAACAAATGTGTAAATGACAAGAGAACACAACGTCATTAAATCAAAGACCCATTTGTCTGAACACTCATAAACTCATCTCAAGGCTCTTGTCTGCGTCCCATCTTTATCTAGTATGTATCTATTTTCGGGACGGGTTAGGTGTAAACATAATTCGTCTTCACTCACAAAATGCTCAAAATCTTCACTTCCCATACTCAAACTAAAAATAGCTTTTGCATTTTAGTGTTATTTGTCCTATTTGTCTTTTAAAACATCTGAGAATATCACTGAAAAATCTAAGTGAAATTGAATTTACAACATTAGTTTCATTTGCTATCTATAATCACCAGCGCTGCTTTATCAACTACAGGTGAATACCATTTACCAGCGTATTGTTTACATATCGAATCATCAATGCAATGTTCTTTCCTGCTATCATGCAGTTCATGTTTCAAATACATTACGGTGTTAGCTGTATTGTCTGCAGGTGTATTTGCTTGAGGTCAAGGTGAATGATATCGGATCTCTTAACCGATATATAGATCTTGCACCATCGCGTGCAATTTTGCCATCTTCACCTGCCAGCTAAACTTGCACAAAAACAGAACCATTTTCTGTGTGAACATCATAGCTGAGAAGAAATTAAAGGATATGATCACTATAGAGGGGTTGTGTAGTGTGAATGTAAATGGAAACAAAATTGGTACTAACAAGTATTGAAGCTATTCAGAGCTTTGGACATAACCACAAACATATGAGAGACTTTCTCATCACTAAACATACAGCACGTACCACTTCGAAGAACTGTTCATTTCATTCAAGAAATACATACTCGTTACATGGACTACCTTGTAAAAATTTCGTCTTATTTACTTAATGTTCAAATATCAACAAACTTATCCGAATATGTATAGACATTTAATAATCCTGATGTGACACCCTGAATGTCCCTTAAATAGCATATATATCTATAATGTGCATCAGTATATATATCATGATATTAGCAAATATATTTACTTCCGTTAATGTAAAGCAAAACACATCAGGAATATCACAAGGATTTAATAAGCAGTCATTTGAATTCATTAAACACCAGTATTGCCATCAAACTGCTTTGATTGATAGATTTCCCGAAGATAATCCATATCTATAATTACCTATGCCGACTCTACTGTTACGTCTGGTGCGCATGGTCACATCCACTTCCGCAGGAGACTGGGATCTTTCGGGAATCCGAGGTAGCCTTTCCGCTTCCGGTGGTGACTGGTTTCCAAGAAATCGGTTCCGCTTTGTAATTAATTGAGGAGAATTAACAATTTCATCAGTGTATATCACGCTGATCTTTCTCACTTCTTCTCTTTCTGGAGACGCTGCGGATAAAAAAGCCAGTCTTAGATCCGTGAAAATAGGATAAATGATACTTAACAAAGGATAGCTGTAGACGAGGGTCAAAAATCAACACGACAGATATTTACCGCTAATGAAAGGTCAGGAGGTGCAAACCAATGAAAGGTCAACTGGTGCGAACAAAAGAAAGGTCATAAGGTGCGAACCAATGAAAGGTTATAAGGTGTGAATAAATCCAGAGGAATCTACCATTGGGTCTTGAATTTTATGACAACAGATACTGTAAAAAAATACACTGTCGTCTTTTGAGGTCTCAGTTTGGTATTGAATCCCAAATTAAATTGCAAAAACATTGATGCTCCCAAAGAGAGATAAAGTATACGAAATCATTAATGACAACAATCAATTGATATAAATCCACAGCTGGTAAAGGTGCTTTGATATAAATTTTCCGATATTTTCCGAGAGCAACACAAATATGTAAAAAGAAACATCATGACTAGGCAGGAAAGAAATCCTTTATGTCAAGCTCGCTTATATTTTGCTATCTATAAATTTAATTTCCAGTTCCAACAAAGCAAATATAGTATCTGATTATCGATCTGACCATTCGTTTCCATCAATATAGTTAAGGCTTTATGAATCCACAGCCGGTAAAGGTGTATGGTATAGATACGGTAAGAAGGGCAACAAATATATTAATGAAAGAAAAACCAACAACCTTTCAGTTAACAACATGTCATCTTAAAGGGAAAAAAACAAACAATCTTAAGATAATTCAAACACTTGAAGGACAAGACGAACAAAATATAACTAAAGTCAATAACGGAAATTAAAATGAAAAGTAGCATATTTACATCTCGAGCTGAGTGGATTCAAAAAGGGGAAAAGCCTACCTTTTTTCAGCGTCAAAAACATCGAGTTTACTTAAAATACTACCTAAAGTACAATTAGATAATTGGAAAAGTATTACAAACTAGAAAGATATCTTGCAAGAAGTTTGTACATTTTACGATGCAAATGCACACGGGCTTTTGGAATATTTGAACTTCAATACTTATAAGCATAATTCACATATAATCGAGGGTCCAATCTATTTAGCAGAATCTGGAAAATTAAAAAAAAAAAAAAAAAAAAACACATACACAGACACAAAAGATATCAAAAGTCCTGGTTAGATTGTTTGAAAGCAGCCTTTTATTAGATTTTTTTGTAAATATGTAGAATTTGTTTGGCCCTTCTGTTAATTTAGTTTCATTGTTTTTATCAATTTCACAACGACAAGGCATTGATTCAAGCATTCCAAGGGGGAAAATTACAGAAATATCATCAAAACTGGAGGCACAAATTGCTGTTAAATGGTCTTTTCAAAATGGCACTTTTTGAATAGGTAATAATAATCAGACTGCGTTTATAAAGAGTCGTTTGAGGAGGGAAAAACTAAACGTCTTGATGATGTTATGCAATTTCCAAAAGAAACTTTTTCCATGTATGTATTTAATGATTGACTTGACGTCCAAGAAACATGATATTTGGTATTCTGTTTATCTATTGAAAAAACAATGCTTACAAATTGGTAGGTTTGGTTTTGCTGTAATCAAGGTTTCCGACAAGGTGACTTGATAACACCGTACATATCTATTTTATGTACCTAAATTATGATTATATTTAGACATAACAGTAAAACATCATAATCGTAATCCAAACTCATTTTTTTTTATTAAAACTGAGGCGTAATATAAACAAAAGAAAGATTAATATGGAGAAAGAACAAACAGATTAAGGCCGGGTATAGTGGAAAAGTAGGCGTCTTCTACTCCATCGACCACATCCGCCATGTACATCTAGGTACATCGAAGTTAAGTAATGAAAACAAGGTATATTGCAACGGAACCAAAAGGCACGCCCAGTTTAGTTTCATATCGCAAAAAGAAATAATACATTTCTCAATGAGATCACTATGACGATCGTAAGACTTTCCCATGTTTTTAATCAATCTGCATCTTTTGAACGCTTGTTTCAGGTGTGTCCGTAAGTTGACGACTTCTTGCACAAAAATCGTGATTTATAACTCTCCTTTCTATCTGTCGAATTTTGCTAATGATACCATTGATGATACAGAAAGTTATGTTCGATAATTGATTAATTGATTTAAAAAACCTAACTCTTATGAAAAAGGTCAACAGAATCATTATCCATACCCAAAACTAACGCGTTATATGAACAAAAGAAATATTCACACAAAGAAAAAAGTATGAAGAGAATAAGACCAGGTGTTCCGGAGGAGTAAGTGGCTTTTGAAATATATCAGGGCTAAAAGTAAATATATCCAAAGTCCAGAGAAATTTTCACCCAAAATTAATTATACAGTGAGTGGAGAAAATTGTCTCAATTCTCGGGATCGAGTTTTTATGTCCTTTTTACAAGTTATACTTTAACCTTAGTGTAATTACCTAGTACCACAGTGTTAAACTCAAATGGTAAATATTAAGGCTTTTATAGATTGTCTCAAATGGGGTTGGGTGAGAACAGTTTATTCAAAATACATCAGTGTCCCCTTCGTGTAGAACTGGTTACATGCAGATTTGACAAAGCAAATATAAAAATCGGTTCTGCTTTGATGTTTACAAAGAATGTAAAATTTATTCTTTACCTGATAAAAGATTACCTTTCTGATACAAACTATATATTCCATTAATTTACCAAAGCATATAAAATACAAACTGATCGTCTCCAATTTTATAGTGTTCTTTCTGTAACAAAGAAACTGCTTCCTACTCCAGTTTACTTATTCTTTGGAAACCCTAGAACTACCAAACACCTTTCATGCATTGTCAATTAAAAAGAACAAGAACAAAGTACTTCTATGACAGAATGAACTGGGATGAAGTATCAAACCTAATATAATTTAAAATACAAAATTCCTTTCATTTATGGCATGATTAATTATATCACTTCTGAATATTGTTCGTAATTCTGTGACTGGAATTATGATGCATATTCTATTGGAATGTCTAGTGTTTAAAATCTTAGTTTTGAAACTATACTGAAAGCCTTGCCTATTCTGTTAGTTTTGATAAAGAACCATATTTTTTTTTATCTAAACCAATTAATCAACGTTGCTTATTAAAAACTCTTTATTATTAAACAGTACATTGAATATCAACGCAATAATTAACACAATAGAATAACTTACAAAGTCCATCATAATTTAGCAATTAGCGAAGGTAATACTTCTAAAAGAGATTTGAAAATGTGTAGAAGCAGTGGGGAAAATTGGAATTTTTGCTTTATTTTTGCATCAGATGATGATGATGATGATGTTCCATATGACTTATAAAAAAATGGCGGGGGGGGGGGGGGGGGGGGGGGGGGGGGGGGGATATACCCTGTTGGCTTTAAGAACACTTTTATATAATTACGACAGATCAAGATATAGAGAGTGTACAAAATATGCCTTTGTTGATATACAAGGGTTAAATATGATATCAGTTTCCAAATTTGCTTAATTACACGATAGGCAAAATGTAATTTATTTTGATGGATTTTGAAGATAAGTCCATTCTGTTATGCTCATGAATCTAACACTACACCTAAATCTTAATCAAAACGCAGTAAACAGACTCAATACACCATGGACACAATTGGGTTAGCTTTGATCAAATGTAGTCCCTTGTCGACTGAGGTGTCTAGACCGAGAATAAACTCTATCAAAGATATTAATCACTTGGCTAACGAGACGGCTTCAGTATTCCGGGATCAATTTCTGTCTCGATAACATCATACTCATGGAAATGAAATAGCGGACATACCATAATGAATTATAAGCAGGGAAACAAAGTTGAGTCTTTTCGATATATTGCATGCCCTAAAAGGACAGAAAAACGTTAACAGCTTACAAATATACTACGCCATACACTACTACAATTATGCCATCGTGATGTGAGCATTTTTGTGGTTAGTTAGGAACGCACGAGGGTTCCGTTATCCTTTAAGCATTTCACTTTATCAAAGTCTGTACCAAAGTGACGTTTCGTTGAACGGAAGGTAACCAACTGAAGTAATTAGCCTTTAATTTGCCATTTTGGAATTTCGGACAAGCTGATTAGAAAAGTTATAATAAAATATTGCAGTGGATTACGTAATGTGGAGGAGAAAATTGAATTCTGTCATCAAATTTATTGGAGTCTGACCCATTTTTCCCCAATCAAGAATATCGTGCACTGTGACATGAAACACATATTTTAAGCTTGCTTTCAATTAAAAATGCATTTATTTCACTTCGAACTGAGAAATCTCAAAAACCAATACTTCATTACGTCAGGAAAATAATTGTTAATTCAATCCAAAAGGTAAGCTTTTTGGTTTGATTCATAACTCAATTTTGTTATAATTGAGTTATTTACAGTCATCCCTATATTAGTAGTTCTAATACACATGATACCATGTATAAATAAATGTTCTCTCACTACCAATCCCATAGCAAGGTCGAGTTCAAAATCCTCTAATCCTTGGAAATCTTTCAAGAAATTTGAAAATATCGAGAGGAATCACAATATTTTACAATAAGGATAAAGTGTTATTATGTAAGCATCTAACCTTCATACTAAAGTATTAAATCTGACATTTATAACATAGATGCTGATGTCTTTAAATAAAACATGCCAAAGTGAGTAAATATTTGAAAGTGAATTTTGTTTTCCGAGGATAACATATACTATACTTACTTTAATTCAATATTACTATTTAATGAACAAAAAAAAAAAAAAAATACAATTCTAGGGCAATTATGCATGGAATTGGAATTAACTAATATAGGCAAGGCTGAATCTTATCTTTCTATTGATTAAACAAAGATACACATGTTATATTCTTTTAATTAAAATTGTTAATTAAGCCAGAAAAATCAACGTACAAACAATTTTTTTTTCATAAACATTATTAATTTTGCACAAAATTGTCAAATCGTGAAAATTTTATTTAGTTTGACTACAAAAAAATCAATGAAGCTTTGTGTAAAAGTTGCAAAACTGAGTGCATTTTTTCAGACATTGCGTGATTTCTAGAAAAATAACACTTCATATATATTAACCGTGCCGAATGTTTGTGTTCAAACGCCAAACAGACATGTTATCAATTTTGACAAAAAATAAATAAATGTCAGAAACACGTCGAGCGCATTCGGAATACTTGTCGAAGGTATTAGATAAAAGCAACCGAGACTAGAAAACATGCTGTCCTGAAACGTGGAAAGACGACAGGTTTGTCAAAGGATATTTCTCCTAGTCGACAACGATACACTTAATTCGGTTACGTTAATATCTTGCGCTTGCTTGTTCAGTCATACATACGTGAGTTCTTGGTCAAAAATGGTCAATGGTATTTCTGAATTTCAACGCCCCCTCCCCACCACGTGACCTGTTTCTCTGTTACTAAAGTAAACGACGAGTTTTCCATTATCTAAAACCTAAAGAAAGGCGATGAAATGAAGCCATGATAATGAAGATCGCTTAGAGCTGTGACGAAAAGGAGAGACGTGTTAGGGAAATGTGTCGGTAAAACTGCTTTGTGTGATAACAGAATGTAAGATTTCAGAACAATTTGGAAATGCAATTTGTGTCCTTACTGAAGTCGTATTTCATTTTAAATTACACTTTATTCTGAATTAAAATCAGAAAAAGTCTATTATATTAATAAACGGATCGTCATTAAATCCATTAAAATAACCCATGGGGAGTATATTGCAGTGGTTTATGTTTCGTATCTTCGGGAATGAAAGGAAAGCACTTCGCACCGTAAACTGATAGAATCGATCAACTTGGTGTAATTCAGATTGAAATAGCTTAACCAAAAGCAAGGATGTTAATTTTATCATGTGCCTTTACCTAGTGTTAAACTTGACATGTTTAAAATTACGATTTGATTTATTTGTCAACTTAAATGGGATTATTGTGTAATTGCACCTTGAAGATTAAAACATACATATACATATATCTAGGGGGACAGATCGCACTTCGCCCTCCCGCTTATATATATATGTATATATACACTTGATTAGCTATAGACCAAATGTGTGGTAATTAACCAAAGCAATGTAAATATATAAAATGTCACGAGGAATTCCAGATGAATAACTACTCGGTATTTTTACATTTCTCACCACTTATGGAAATTACGGCAAAACTACAAGATATCTTAAGATTGAAATCTAATTGAATGATTCGACACAACAGGATTGTGATATTCGCACGCTCAAAGCATTGGTTTTAACAGCTTATATATTCGGGAATCAGATTTCCTCATTCTCAATGCGAATTTACAAATAGCTTTCCAAAAAAGATGGAAAAAATTAACATGATGTTGTTTACGATTTTAATGCGATTCTGGTATTACCTGTGGTTCTTTAAAACTACCAAATGTTCCCCATAAAAATCCCGATATTTGCTAAGTATTTTTTTTTACATTAAGCTAGGACCTGAGCGATATCCTAAGTATGTTGATAATACAATGATGAACTCACTGTTGCTGTCACAGCTACCAAACGCACTATCATTACTGGACTTACGATCCAGTGACTTCAAACTGCCTTTACTTCCAAATTCTGATTTTAATGGCGAAACATCCGTTTCCGGTAAAGGCGAAGGTGACGGTGTTGGCTGATTTTCCTTCAATGCGTTTGCAGCACCAACCAGTCGATTTCTGTTCTTTTTCGGTAGTTTCATTTTAGCTTGTGCATGGGAATAATAAAGTGTGAAATTGCTGACTATGATAGGAACCGGAAGTGACAACATAAGAAGTCCACAAACAGCGCAGATCGTACCGACAACGTATCCGAAGCCTGTCCTCGGAGTCATATCACCATATCCTAACGTTGTCATGGTAACAACTGCCCACCAAAAGCCCATGGGGATATCGGGAAAATTGTTTATCTTTCCTTCGTCAATTTGCTCTGCATAGAAAATTAGACAGGCGAAAATCAGTACTCCAATTATCAGTACAAGAAAAAGAAGAAAAAGCTCTTTGGCACTTGCTCGTATAGTATGTCCTAAGATTTTCAATCCACTGAAATGACGCGTTAATTTCAAAATCCGAAAAATTCTTATCAATCGAAGTGCATTAAGGAAATAATAGGCATCGGTGAGTTCTACATTTGCGTCACACGCTAACATAATCTTGGTGAGATAAAATGGTACAACGGAACACACGTCTATCCAGTTAAAAGGCTCTTTTACATAGTCACAGAGGCGTGGGCAGAAAAGTATCCGTGCAAGTAGCTCAAACGTGAAAAAGATGATACAGATATACTCAAACACGTCCATAAAGAGAAGCGGCTTAGTGTGTTTTTGCTGTTCCAGAATAGGCAAGTTGTTCATTGACATGTTCGGATGTGGATTGTACCGGAAGTGCGCATTAGTCTCTAAACAGAAGACTGCGATTGACGTCAGAATAAATATCACAGACACGACAGCGTAGGTCTGAAACATAAAAGGAAGAATATTCGTTAGAAATTTATACAAACCTCATCATTACTTATTTGTTTACACGGATACACGTGTTGTTGTTTACTTCTACAGATAAAATAGAATTCAAATCTGATGAAAAATAAACCATGAAAATAAAATCTTATCAAATATACTTATAATATCTAAGTGAACCTCAACAAGAGATGCAATGTCCATTCTAATCGATTTCATTAAAGACACCAAATATAAATCAAAATTTGAATTTCAAAATTTCAAAAAACAAGTTCAAATATACTGTATATAGAACACGGACTCTTTCGGGTAATATCTGGTTATGCTATATCTTACTATATCGAAAGGTACTCAATGATTAAACTGAGAAAGATTGATAGAAAACCAAATTTAATTTTATTTAAATTTTATTTATTTATTTGTCTATTTCATTTATTTATTTGTTTATTTTATATATTTATTTATTGTTTGCAGTTTGTCTGGTATAAAAGATATATTTAGAACTTTGTGATATCGTTTAGCAGTAGTAACGTCCTTTGGTATCGGTTACAGACAAATAAAAGACCGTGTTTTAGATATTTGACTGCGTGAAAATGACATTCCGTTGTTAAATAATTTCCTAAACGTCTACAGTTTGACCATTTATATATAACGACAGAGTCGGGGGGAAACGAACAGACATATTTATCGACAAAATGGACATTTAACCAATCATGTCATAAATTCAATATCTGATGTTGTCGCTCACACGAATCCACCAGAGTGATAGCAATAGTTAATAAAACATTTAATAGTCACAGAATGTGTTCAATAGGGAAGATATTTCAGGGAAATGATAAGCGACGATTTGACGAGAACGCTGGCTGATGGAGCAGGAATTTGATTACAGACAGTCCATTGCAGTAACAGGCGAAGAGATAACGATATTTTACGTATTGTCGACCAGCCTAGTGGAACATTTACTTGTCCTGTCTATATTTGTCGCAGTTTCCCGTCGAACGTTCTCTAGATCACATAAACGACACTGTTGCCACCACAAACCGCGCCATGATAATTACGTTATCTTCCTAATGTTATCAGGGACAACGTAGAAAAGGCACCGTTTCATTATTTGTTTGTTATCTAAAAGTTCAAGCAATGATATAAAAGAGTAATATATTCTACTGTCTTCCGGCTCTTTCTTAATTGCAAACTTTACCCAGTCTTTGTCAATATGAAATTAATTTATCGTTTCCTATACTTAAAAAAACACGAACTCTATCGCTTATTAATACTAAATGCACGCGACATTCAATAAAAGACTGCCAATGGGATATAAAAAATAGATTTGACCTTTGAAGTACTTAAATATGCCTTTAGGATTTAGGTAAATGACATATGCATTATCTACATTGTAAGAATTCAATGAGCTATTAGATAAACTAACACGAGTCTCAGATATCATTTCTCACATTATTTCTATTAATATGAAAACTGGTAAACCCTTGTAACCATTCTCGTATGACGAATTCCGTGTAGGTCATTATGTTATTCACTCTCGCAAAAATCAAATGACGTCATTAAAGCATGACTTCACAAATGGTGATCATTTTCATATGTCATACGACATGATCATTCTAATCTTATAAAGTATTTCGTTGGTTTATTCTTGTGTCCGAAGTTCACGGAGAAAATCCATCGACCTGCACCATCTCATTAAAAAAAATGTGGACCTCGAACCTGCGATCCAGAAGTGAAATGTTGATTATTAAAACGGATTACAATTACATACAGAGTCACAAAGAGCAAAGCATGTCAACTGTAAAACCAACGGAATACAGACTAAATGCGTGTAACATGGAATTGCAATGAACAGCATTTAACGACATGGATTGTGAATAACATGTAGTGAAAAAAGGTTTACTGCGGCACGTATTGTGATAAAACATGGTTTTTCTTCAACACTGCATTATAATTCAAACATTGAATGTCAGTGTTCCATTTTAATTTGTGCGGGTAGCGTACATATTCGGCTTAGCAGCACAATCACATACCATATTAAGTCTCCTTAAAGGTGAAAATAATTGAAATTTCGATCGATAAAACATTAATTGAGAATACGCGGAACATGTCTGACAGATCTGTTCGGTATGTTGTGATATATATCTCTCAGTTTTCTACCACTAAAGTAAATTAATAAGAAAGCTGAAATCTTGCCAAATGTTTACATTATCTCAAAAGTCCTGATAAGATTTTCGATAAGATACGTTAGCAAAATGAAATAAAAATTATAATTTCATCCAGAGTGAGCATGAAAGCTTCAATTCGTTTGATTTTATTCAACAAGAATAAGAAAAGAAACATTCTCTCCATTGGACCCACTATCTATGATTTTTTTTTATCAATACGACTACTAATAACACACCGGAATTGTTTCAGTGCGGATGCTGTAAGATCCGGACAATTTGGTCCACAAGACCGATAAAAATACCAAGACGTCATTCGGATTTATATCCCAACAAAATTGCAGTTTATAAGAGAAATGTTAGCCACAGCTTTACATGTATGAAGCATTCGTTATCTATAAAAAAAACTACCAGTACATGCATACTTGACTATATGAAATATTTACTAGAAAGAAAATCTGAAACTATATTTCAAAGCAACAGCTACTTCAGTTTACTTGTCTTTTATGTTGATCACATTTTGTTGTTAGAGTATAATTGTCGTGATAGAAAACAAAACCGACGTCATTCTGTCATCCAGAAAACATGATTTCATATCAACAATAAGTCAAAACAGTGCATGACGAAATCAGATCCTTCGTAAAGACGATGGCGGTATGCCGTCAAATAGTAGTTTTATCTAAAAGATCACTCCACCGAAAATATCTCTCTTATTTCAGTTTAAATATAGATCGTTTTGAACAGATTAAAATTCACGTTGCGGCAAGCAATACAAATAAAAGGCACGGCTGATTGAAAACGTAAACAAAAAATAAACATATCAACATTATCATAATTCAAACTCCAATGAAACTAGGGCAAACTATGCGCAAAAGAAATATTTGAACGAAGATTCAAGAAAACGTACATGGAGAATAAGACCAGGTGTTCCTGAAGAGTAAGCGTCTTATGTTCCGTCGACGACACTCGCTATGTAATCCTTGGTAAATTCCAGTAAGTAATGTCACATTGTCAAACGAGAATCAGGTATACAACAACAGAACCACTGACATCACTATGACAACTATAGAACTTCAACCTAATTTTGAACAACATTCGTCTTTTTGAAATCCTGCGTTTGTCTGTCAGATGACGAATTCTTGCACGAAAATCGTGATGATGGGAAAACGACCTCGGATATAGAATCAACTATGTCATGTAATCACCATAGGTGGAAAACACAGCTGAACCCGTATCAATATACCCTACACTGTTCAAATTGTCGTATAATAAGCTATAAACCGCCACCTGGTAACTGTATACGCCACCTGGTAACTGTATACTGCCACCTGGTTAAAGTATACCACCACCTGGTAACTGTATACCACCACCTGGTAACTGTATACCGCCCTGGTAACTGTATACCACCACCTGGTAACTGTATACCATAACATGGTAACTGTATACTACCACCTGGTAACTGTATACTACCACCTGGTAACTGTATACCACCACCTGGTAACTGTATACCACCACCTGGTAACTGTATACCACCACCTGGTAACTGTATACCGCCACCTGGTAACTGTATACCGCCACCTGGTAACTGTATACCACCACCTGGTAACTGTATACCATAACCTGGTAACTGTATACCACCACCTGGTAACTGTATACCACCACCTGGTAACTGTATACCACCACCTGATAACTATACAGCCACCTGGTAACTGTATACCGCAACCTGGTAACTGTGTACCGCCACCTGGTAACTGTATACCATAACCTGGTAACTGTATACCACCACTTGGTAACTGTATACCATAACATGGTAACTGTTTACCACAACCTGGTAACTGTATACCACCAACTGCTAACAGTTTACAACCCACCACCTGGTAACTGTATATCTCCACTTGGTAACTGTATATCGCCTCCTGGTAACTGTATACCACCACCTGATAACTATACTTCCACCTGGTAACTGTATACCATAACCTGGTAACTGTATACCGCCACCTGGTAACTGTATACCGCCACCTGGTAACTGTATACCACCACCTGATAACTATACCGCCACCTGGTTACTGTATACCGCCACCTTGAAACTGTATACCGCCACCTGGTAACTGTATACCACCACCTGGTAACTGTATACCATAACCTGGTAACTGTATACCACCACCTGGTAACTGTATACCGCCACCTGGTAACTGTATACCGCCACCTGGTAACTGTATACCGACATCTGGTAACTGTATACCGTCACCTGGTAAATGTATACCTTAACCTGGTAACTGTATACCACCACCTGGTAACTGTATACCACCACCTGGTAACTGTATACCACCACCTGGTAACTGTATACCACCACCTGGTAACTGTATACCACCACCTGGTAACTGTATACCATAACCTGGTAACTGTATACCACCACCTGGTAACTGTATACCACCACCTGGTAACTGTATACCGCCACCTGGTAACTGTATACTACCACCTGGTAACTGTATACCACCACCTGGTAACTGTATACCGCAACCTGGTAACTGTATACCACCACCTGGTAACTGTATACCACCACCTGGTAACTGTATACCACCACCTGGTAACTGTATACCTCCACCTGGTAACTGTATACCACCACCTGGTAACTGTATACCGCCACCTGGTAACTGTATACCACTACCTGGTAACTGTAAACCATAACCTGGTAACTGTATACCATAACCTGGTAACTGTATACCACCACCTGGTAACTGTATTCCGCCACCTGGTAACTGTATACTACCACCTGGTAGCTGTATACCATAATCTGTTAACTGTATACTGCCACCTGGTAACTGTATACCGCCACCTGGTAACTGTATACCATAACCTGGTAACTGTATACCACCACCTGGTAACTGTATACCACCACCTGGGTACTGTATACCATAATCTGGTTACTGTATACCACCACCTGGTAACTGTATTCCGCCATCTAGTAACTGTATACTATCACCTGGTAACTGTATACCATAACCTTGTAACTGTATACTGCCACCTGGTAACTGTATACCACCACCTGGTAACTGTATACCATAACCTGGTAACTGTATACCATAACCTGGTAACTGTATACCACCAACCTGATAACTATACCACCACCTGGTAACTGTATACCACCACCTGGTAACTGTATACCACCACCTGGTAACTGTATACCACCACCTGGTTAAAGTATTATACCACCTGGTAACTGTATACCACCACCTGGTAAATGTATACCATAACCTGGTAACTGTATACTGTCACCTGGTAACTGTATGCCGCCACCTGGTAACTGTATACCATAACCTGGTAACTGTATACCACCACCTGGTAACTGTATACTACCACCTGGTAACTGTATACTACCACCTGGTAACTGTATACCCACTTGGTAACTGGTATATGGTAACTGTATACCACCACCTGGTAATTGTATACCGCCACCATGAAACTGTATACCATAATATGGTAACTGTATACCGCCACCTTGTAGCTGTCTACCACCACCTGGTAACTGTTTACCACAACCTGGTAACTGTATACCACCACCTGGTAACTGTTTATCAACACCTCGTAACTATATACCGCCACCTGATAACTGTATACCACCACCTGGTAACTGTATACCACCACCTGGTAACTGTATATCACCACCTGGTAACTGTATACCGCCACCTGGTAACTGTATACTACCACCTGGTAACTGTATACCATAATTTGTTAACTGTATACTGCCACCTGGTAACGGTATACCGCCACCTGGTTACTGTATACCATAACCTGGTAACTGTATACCACCACCTGGTCACCACCTGGTAACTGTATACCACCACCTGGTAACTGTATACCGCCACCTGGTAACTGTATACCATAACCTGGTAACTGTATACCACCACCTGGTAACTGTATACCACCACCTGGTAACTGTATACCACCACCTGGTAACTGTATACCATAACCTGGTAACTGTATACCGCCACCTGGTAACTGTATACCACCACCTGGTAACTGTAAACCATAACCTGATAACTGTATACCACCACCTGGTAACTGTATACCATAACCTGGTAACTGTATACTGCCACCTGGTAACTGTATACCGCCACCTGGTAACTGTATACCATAACCTGGTAACTGTATACCACCACCTGGTAACTGTATACCACCACCTGGTAACTGTATACCACCACCTGGTAACTGTATTCCGCCACCTGGTAACTGTATACCACCACCTGGTAACTGTATACCACCACCTGGTAACTGTATACTACCACCTGGTAACTGTATACTACCAACTGGTAACTGGTAACTGTATACCACCCTGGTAACTGTATACCACCTGGTACCTGGTAACTGTATAACTGGTAACTGTACCACCACCTGGTAACTGTATACCATACCTGGTAACTGTACCACCTGGTAACTGTATACCACCACCTGGTAACTGTATACCATAACCTGGTAACTGTATACCACCACCTGGTAACTGTATACCACCACCTGGTAACTGTATACCATAACCTGGTAACTGTATACCACCACCTGGTAACTGTATACCATAACCTGGTAACTGTATACCACCACCTGGTAACTGTATACCATAACCTGGTAACTGTATACCACCACCTGGTAACTGTATACCACCACCTGGTAACTGTATACCACCACCTGGTAACTGTATACCACCACCTGGTAACTGTATACCACCACCTGGTAACTGTATATCGCAACCTGGTAACTGTATACCACCACTTGGTAACTGTATACCATATACCCACCTGGTAACCTGGTAACTGTATACACCACCTGGTAACTGTATACCGCCACCTTGAAACTGTATACCATAATATGGTAACTGTATACCGCCACCTGGTAACTGTATACCACCACCTGGTAACTGTATAATATAATCTGGTAACTGTATACTACCACCTGGTTACTGTATACTACCAACTGGTAACTGTATACTACCACCTGGTAACTGTATACCACCACCTGGTAACTGTATAACATAATCTGGTAACTGTATACTACCACCTGGTAACTGTTTACCACCTATTGGTAACTGTAAAATGCCATTTGGTTACTCCATACCACCACCTGGTAACTGTGTACCACCACCTGGTTAAAGTATACCACCACCTGGTAACTGTATACCTCCACTTGGTAACTGTATATCGCCACCTGGTAACTGTATACCACCACCTGGTAACTGTATACCGCCACCTGGTAACTGTATACCACCACCTGGTAACTGTATACCGCCACCTGGTAACTGTATACCATAACATGGTAACTGTATACCGCCACCTGGTAACTGTATACCACCACCTGGTAACTGTATACCGCCACCTGATAACTGTATACCATAACCTGGTAACTGTATACTGCCACCTGGTAACTGTATACCGCCACCTGGTAACTGTATACCATAACCTGGTAACTGTATACCACCACCTGGTAACTGTATACCATAACCTGGTAACTGTATACCACCACCTGGTAACTGTATACTACCACCTGGTAACTGTATACCATAACCTGGTAACTGTATACTGCCACCAGGTTCCTGTACACCGTCACCTGGTTACTGTATACTACCACCTGGTTACTGTATACCATCACCTGGTTACTGTATATCACTACCTGGTAACTGTATATCACCACCTGGTCATCACCTGGTAACTGTATACTACCACCTGGTTACTGTATGCCATCACCTGGTAACTGTATATCACCACCTGATAACTGTATACCGCTCCCTGGTACCTGTATACCGCCACCTGGTAACTGTATACCACCACCTGGTAACTGTATACCACCATCTGGTAACTTTATACCACAACATGGTAACTTTATACTGCAACATGGTTCATGGCCTAAACATACCCTCTATTGCATATTTATAATGGTTGTATGAATCTGTTAGCTGATAAAATGTCCCCAATAATCACCAGTCTAGCAAACCGTAGAATTCCTTTGATATAAATGTCAGATAACGCAACGCTAAAGCTCCGTATTATCTCTTGGGAATGACTGCAATAGGACCCCTTGATTAAATGCAATATCTACGATACAAATTATGATTTTTTTGTCTGGCAAACTTATTCAAGACAGTAATGGTATTTTTTCGGAAATGAGAGGAAATTCTAAAAGATTTTCTTTGTTGATATGTCAGACTATATGACTACTTGTGGATGTAGATCTAGCAGACAGGGGTGATGTGGTCGGTCCGCATCGTTGTTTACATCTTCATCACAATTTTTCCCTCCCGCATATCACTCCGCTATGTGGTTATGTAGTTAACATGGAAAAGTCCCCTGTTTGCCATGATTCATTATAAACTATATCCTAAAAATGTAAATTTATTTACTTCAATGAATTATTTCCTTTTATTTCTATTTATAAAACATTTCACAAGAGATATTGAATAAAATGCTATAACTTCGCGAAGTCAGTTAGGACCGTTTCATCGAAAACATCACTGAAATGATGTTTCAAACAAAAGTTTATAATGACCAACGGTTTTGCAGTTGCATACACATTTTTTTCGTACAGACGTACACACAGAAAGACAGACATCTGTCAGACAGACAGATATATTTTTCATTTATACCTGACTGAATACATAAACTGTATAACAAGTATCACTTTTATTGTAACATATACCAAAACGGCGTTATGCCGTTATGTTGTCTTAGTTTCGTGCTGTTCGCTACATATATTGCAATGTTTTAAACGATTATTTTATAGAATTACTTAAAGCTTTAAGAAAAACGCTCACGAAGAAATCGACGAAACCGCTTGTCCCTATAATATTTTTTAGCGATATTTTATTTTCGCAATTTCATTCGATCCTCGAGAATAGTAACAAGTAGAAACCATGGACATTCACAGAAACTCTACATTGTAATTAATACCAAGACAACCGCAGTTAACGAATTCCCTACTTTTCGTGGTAATTTTCAGAGGGGTCGAAATGTTCCCAGGAAACATCCTCTGGGTCGTGTTCTTTTATTAAAGGTATCGATATATTATGGTGTGTATTGTCCTAATATCTGATAAAAGAATTTGACAAAAACTTAAATGATAAATGTTAGGTCACATTTGATACAAAAATTGATAAAAATCGAAATGATAAATGTTACGTACACAATATCATTATATTGACATTTGATTAGTAGTCACTAGTTTTCGCCTATAATACAGAAAATTAGTTGTTAAATTTATTCACACCTACTGCTTTGAAGACGTTTTGTTGTTGTTGTTTTCCTTCAAATGAACAAAATTAGGAGAGTACAACAATTCAAAACTATATTATCGTATTATCACGCTGATCACAATCAAAGCAAAAATGAACACGGAAATACTGATATGTAAACCACTTGATATTTCAAACTGGTTCTTGATCAAACGATTGACAAATGATGACTGAAAAAAAAATGATAATGTGGCCTTTGACAAAAGTAAGAATGAAGCCAACTGTCCCGCAAGGGCAAGCATTTTCTGCTTCGTTTATATTCTCGCAATGTAAATCTTATTCTAGAAAAATCGCGTTCTTACTCAAGGACACAGCTAACTACAACGAAACTGTTTTTGAGATTTACACTGAATAGAAAATACTAATCTTTATATTCATCTACAATCAAACATTTATTGCATAAATTCATTTCATTATATTCCTTTAGGATGATATAATTTTAATGAAAATATTATTATGAGAAAGAGAATGTATTGCATGCATTTTTATAAGTAAGAGTCTTCTCTTCGTGTTTAAATATTAAAATTACGACACCACGTTATTTTTTTATGCTTACCTTCGAAATTTTATTTGCTTTTGGATCGTCAAGGAAACGCCAAACTTTTGGTCGCCATTTTTTCCAGCGAGAAAGTTCCACCTGTTTAAAATCCTCGGAAATGCCAAATTTTTGTCTCATCTCGAATTCCTCTTCATTATCGCTTTCCACGTCGAGTTCGGTTCCCTCGAACTCGGCCAATGTTTCCTGGGCGTCCCGATGGGCCCGGTACGTTTGCCAACAACATGGTTCTATTTGGGTCTCATCTAGGCCCCAAAATGCCAATTCCTCCTCGAATGCGGGACCACACACATCCATAGAGACATGCAGTTTCCCTGTCCGGTAATAGTTTAAGATCATTTGAAACATTCCAGAATGTCGGTCGAAGAAATATTCTCCAGTTACAGGGTCATAATCTGGATTATGTCCGGAATGATCCGTCAACCACGATAGACGAGTGTCTGGAATACTCTTTAATGTCGTTTTGTAAGTTTCAAATCGAACACCCCCAACATTTATGACGATTTTGTTGGAGCTTCTTCGATTGTGAGATTCCGATAGCCGAGGAATCAGAGATGATTTGGGGGCAAAAATGGATCTCTTATTCGTCTGTAGAGACTCCATATCACCGCTACTTAAGATACATACTGCTTAGGTGAGGAGAAGTCGGATACTCTGAAGATTCGAGAAACGCGGTGACAGTAGTCTCGGTGCGTTGCCATCGATTTGACAAAATTTGCTAGGCTAGCAACAGTGATGTGACCGACTCAATGTGTGCACGATTCATGCACGTCAGTCCCTGCATGACAACGGAGCGTCTACCCCACACAGATCTGTCAGACCGTCGCATACAGAGCTGCGTTGATGAATCAGTTGTCTAGATAAGCAAACGTTGAAGTGATCGTAATTACTGGCATATGACACCGTCGTTTGGTGTATGACATCAACGCATGCGCATTGCGATTTCTGATGCGTGGAAACTAGACAGGTGTAAGTCCTTTGATTGCACACACATTAATTAGATTATAAATATTGAATTAGCACCGCTTGTCCGAACCAGCTTCAAAGGTGATAGGATGTCCAGCTTCCTAGAGTCCATGGTCGCGTGATAGGGGTGATGACGTACATTTTGTGTTTGATCGATAGACACAAGTATGTCGGACGAGCCTGTTTAAACACAAACAGTTGATATCGCTATGCTATCGAACTAGGAACGTCTTAGGCTTAGTTAAATAAATCTTGATTTAGAGCACTAGTATTCTAGGATGGCAAGAATAACAGGGAAAAAATGGTGTAGAATCGACGAGAATTAATGAAAGCGTTTTAACACAGCAGAAATGAAAACTACTACATTTGTATCTCCAACAGAGAAAAAAACCTTGATACATGTGTTGTACTTGCACATTATCGACTTGATAAAAAATTATTTCTGTTCAATTCCATTTTATATTCAAAAGTTCTGAAACATAATAAAACACTACTGTTTGATTATGATGTTGATGAAAACCGAAGCTACAAATTATATCGAAATGTCATAACTGTATGGATTTATGCGCCGGACGTGAAAATTGTACCGTTTATTTAGGATTAGCCGATTTTAAAAAGGGATCACCAAGAACATTCTCCTATATACCATAGCACAAGATATACATTGTGGAAGGTAGATATTCGGGGTTTTTAAACTCTCGAAATTTAGATAATATATAAAGTGACAATGGTCAATAAATGCTGAAAATTGATTTGAATTTAAAAAATGTGAAATCAGTTTAAGGGATACGATAAAGTTCACTCGTTTTAATATATTATTATTTTATTTCTTTGGATAACAAATGTCTGTCCAAACATCTGACGTATAGATCTACTACATATTATGTATATGACATAAGTAAAATAACTTCCGTTACTGAAATATAAAAATAGCGGCCCGCGTGACACAAACTGAATGAGATTATCAATGGAATTATAAGTGTGGTGTTCCTTAGCAGTTGTACACCTGAAAATAAAGAATACTTGATTTAAGACAGTCATTGTTCAATAATTTTTGTCAATTTTTCGACGCGATTTATTTCATTATACTTTGTTGGGTTATGTATAACTAACCGCCGCGCTTGCATAACCATCACTGCCCACTACTTTTCTTTTTAAACAAAACATTAATGGTTTGCGTGGCATACTAATCGATCAAACCTCCACAAGTGAAGTTATCAATATAAATGGGCATTTACTGGTGGAACAACGTGATACGAGAAACACTGTTTATCCTTGTATATCTCGACAAGTAGCGGAATAAGAATCGGTCCCGCACATTAAGCGTTGCTTTTATATTGTTTAACATCAAAAGGTTATAAAGGACAATCTTCCTTTGTACGCAAATGTACTTGCAATGCTTTCATTTATAGTTCCGTTCGATAGTGGAGAAATGACGCCGACTTTATAGTGCTACCACATTGAAGTGCATCATCGAAAGTCCCCTAGCAAGATACTACAAACAGTCATGTTATGCTGAGAACAGCTGCACTCGGCATTATCAAACTCCGGGGGTTACGATCACTTCCTCTTTCTTCACTCCTGACACATGTCAAGGCAAAATAAAAACCACAAGCGAAGTAATTCGATTGGTTCCTGGTGAAAACACTAACCGATCACATGCTGATACGCTCCTTTTAAAGATCACAAAGGAGCGACACCTAAATTCAAAGCCATTACAACACGCCATTATGTGACCTCGAGATTTGTTTGATATATATCAAAAGATCAAATTAGTCTTTTCGTCTTGTCCACAAGGTGTCACACATGGAACCATCAAGTTTGCCAAGGTATGTTCCAGGAGTGCTGAGAGCGAAAATGGTTGTAACCCCTGGGGTATGTCAGCGAGCGTTCTATTAAAGACTGAAAATCAGACAGTATCGAGGGAGACGCCAGGAAGAGCTGGTTACTTAGTCAATACACAATAGAAAGTACAGGTACATTTTTTAGGTACTGCTTGCAGAACCCCTGGCGGTTCAGAGCAAACGTTTAACTTGAGGTATTAACATTACACTATCAATATGAAATAACAGTTCAAATAAAGACGAGCTTTTACGTCGAATGTTAACTGTAAAAACCATTATGTATGAGTAGGAAATTATGAAGGAAAATCAACTTTTAAGCTTTACATGAAGTAAAAATTTATCTAAGCCTAAAAATGAATTAAAAACAAACACAAAAACAAAAACAAATATTCCATGAAAAAGCTATATATAATCATAAATTGAAAATTCATTTAAATCTAAATATGAAATAAGATAAAACAGTATTAATGTATCAGTAATTTTGTAAGATTTAACAGTTTCGTATGATTAAGTCATACGGAATTATTTTGTGTTATTTATTTGTATTTTCAAAATAAACTTTTTCATAACACGAGTTTTTCACTAACATAAAGCTACGTCAACAATAAAATTCAGATAAAGAATTAGTATGTCTTTGGTTGACGGTGTCTTCATGACTGTGACACGTGTCGATGTTTGATGTGTGCTACCTAACACATGAAACCCGTAATTTGTGTAAGACAAGGTTATAACTAGGCTACCTGAAACATAAGGTGAAATGCTTCCTTACACATAACAACTGTGATTTGTGTTAGAGTTAAGGTTATATGCTACCTTATACATTATATCTGTGATTAGTGTAAGAGTTAAGGTTATATACTAACTTACACATTATACCTGTGATTTGTGTTAGAGTTAAGGTTATATGCTACCTTACACCTTATACATTATATCTGTGATTTGTGTAAGAGTTAAGGTTATATGCTACCTTATACATTATACCTATTGGTTGTACACATTATACCTGTGATTGGTGTTAGAGTTAAGGTTATATGCTACCTTACTGATTTATGTTAGATGTTGTTTTATGCTACCTTACACATTATACCTGTGATTTGTGTTATAGTTAAGGTTATATGCCACCTTACACTTTATACCTGTGATTTGTGTTAGAGTTAAGGTTATATGCTACCTTATACATTATATCTGTGATTCGTGTTAGAGTGAAGGTTATATGCTACCTTACACTTTATACCTGTGATTTGTGTTAGAGTTAAGGTTATATGCTACATGTACCTCACACATTGTACCTATGATTTGTATATAGATTTAATGATTTGTTATAATAACAATAACATATAACATAAAACCTATTATTTTCGTTACTAGCTTATATGTGCAATATACCTTACACATTGCACTTGTGATTTGTTTTTGAGTTAAGGGCATATGCTACATAACACGTAATACATATGATTTGTGTTTGAGTTAAGGGTATTTGCTACATAACACGTGATATATGTGATTTGTTTTTGAGTTAAGGGCATATGCTACATAACACGTGATATATGTGATTTGTGTTTGAGTTAAGGGCATATGCTACATAACACGTGATACATGTGATTTGTTTTTGAGTTAAGGGCATATGCTACGTAACACGTGATATATGTGATTTTTTTTTAGTTAAGGGCATATGCTACATAACACGTGATACATGTGATTTGTTTTTGAGTTAAGGGCATATGCTACGTAACACGTGATATATGTGATTTTTTTTTAGTTAAGGGCATATGCTACATAACACGTGAAATATATGACTTGTCTTTGAGTTAAGGATATTTGCTACATAACACGTGATATATGTGATTTGTTTTTGAGTTAAGGGCATATGCTACGTAACACGTGATATATGTGATTTTTTTTTAGTTAAGGGCATATGCTACATAACACGTGATACATGTGATTTGTGTTTGAGTTAAGGGTATATGCTACGTAACACGTGAAATATATGACTTGTGTTTGAGTTAAGGGTATATGCTACATAACACGTAATATACGTGATTTGTGTTTGAGTTAAGGGCATATGCTACATAACACGTAATATACGTGATCAGTGTTTGAGTTAAAATTATATAATATGCTACATTACATAGATCAAAAACAAAATAATATTAAACATCTAACTTTTGATCTGAAGTTTACCTTGTACAGGTAAGTCAAAATGTTTTGTACATAAAACAATTAATTACAAAAAATATTAATATTCAATTTCACAACTTGTATGAGGTGATTTTGTAACGGTACGGATCTTATCTTTCAACAGAAGTTATTTTTCAGATCACGTAAACATACGTCCTTTATAAGACACAAGCAGCGTCGATCAAATCCGGAATATCTTGGGTTTTTTTTTTCTTTTTTTTTTTTTTCTACAGGTAGATAATGTTACATGTACGAGTCAAGAATTCATGCCCGTGCTTAATGTCTTCCTCTGAAATTGAGCAATAAAACTCAGACCGATATATCTTCAACCTTTATCTTCAGCCTATACGTTTGGGACTAAATTATCACTAAAAGTTTTTAAAGCAAGAATTTTACATAGCGTTACAATATAATTTGCTAAAATGACACCATGACGTCACGATTCATTACAAAAAGATACTCCACAATTTTATACAATAACATCGTAAGTCTATTATTCTCTTTATTGCCTCTAGAGTTGAAGATTACAGAAGAATGCTGAACATATATACAAAGCGTAAGATACATATATAAATGATTACAGAATATGAATAACATAGATACACACTTTATGCT